GATTGCTATTGTTGACGTCTCCTTCTATAAATACTTTCTGCCAGACTACCATACCGATTAAAAATTGATCCAGAACAATTATGCAAATCCAGATTTCTGACCTTGCTTTGCCTTTACCTCCCTCAGGTTTCTTCTGGGTCAGTGAATTATAGTATTAAGACCAGTAGTTAGCATGTTCAGAAAGTCAGCAATGCCAGCCTATGCTTTTTTTCGCAGTACAGGTTTCTGACATTCACATTAAAAAGTTTGAGCACCCTTGGCCTAATGACACTTTATTGTCTTGTAGTGATTTTTTTATTTTAGTGTACTACTTAGTGAAAATATGTTAACACAATCTTTGCATGAAACCAATTTATAACTTTAATGCACATTTACTCTTTGGTGAGCTCAACAGACTGATGAAAAAGATAAATGTGGCATGTACAAACATCTAGACACAATAAAACTTACCATTTGACCCGAGGGTGTTTTAAAACTTTTCCATGTGACTGAGCAAAAGAGATTTTACTTTTTTTTGTTCAAAGTCTTTTATCCGTTTTTTTTCCTCACATTTAAACAAACAGGTATACATTTGCAACTGGATGCTTTGTAAAAACATTTTAGTGTCCTCAGACCACAAAAATCCCCACATAATTCATTCTATTTTTACCATAACATCCTTTATATAGAGAGTACTATCTACCACCCTATGTTTTGTAAGTCATGAGGCTGTCATGGATACTTTACTGGTAAGACCACGTCCCTCTATCTCAGTAGGGAATACTTCTCTCCCTCGAATTACATCTATGCTCTAAATCGTCAATTATGCTTATGATAATAAAAAATCATTAAAAATTAATTGTGGCGTGATGTCATTATTTCTATAAAACCTTCACCTAAATTTTGACAATCTGTGTATGGATACAATTATTACGTTTCCTTGTGAAGAGAGGGAGTGTCCTTTATCATCAAATCGTGTTTAATGTGTGTTTCTTTATTATATTTCTAATACGCCCTCTTTATATCCTATCCCCAGACTTACAACTTAACACGTGAGTGTTGTCTTATAATTGCAATGTAGATCTTTCCATTAACCTTATAGTGTACCACCTAAATTATCTTTCGTGTTTATATTAAAGATAGTGCATTTATTTTACTTTGTTTCCAGTTTGGCCAGTTATCAACCTTTGACCTTAGTGATTTTAACAATATAGTGCTTCCCAAAATAAGTCCAACTCCTTACGTAGGCTCTCTTGCCTCAAAATATTATGGACCCTTCGTCCTAGGGTGAGCGTACTCTCCATCTTATTTAAAACCTTGTCTGGTGACAACACCAAGTTCTTCACCCAGTATGCAACAACATACAAATAGACAAGAATAGAAAAAGGAAAAGAAAAGAAAAAAAAGGGTAAAACAAGAAAAAAAAAGAAAAGGTGATATGAAAAGAAAAAAAAAAGAGAAAGGGGGGTCTTCTCTAGTCTCCTGTCCCACTCAATCTTGCGAATGTTTAAGGGCTGGTCAGATCGCAGCCGACACTCCAAGATAACCAGTCCATGGAGACCAGGTCAATTCAAAACTCTTTTCGGAATCCATATGGATACTCTGCATTTTTTCATGTATCATTATCCATGAAAGTTTTGCCTTGACCTGTTGGAAGGGTATCGTTGGTGACTTCCAAGATTTTGCTATAGTTATTTTAGCTGCAAGAAGAAAGAAGGATATCAATTTATCCTGGGCTTTCGAGATTCCTGGTATAGGAAAATTCAATAGAGCGTATTGGGCCCCATTCGGGACACGCACTTGGGTCACTCTATATATAAGAGCGACCAATCTATTCCAGAAAGATCTCACCTTAGGACACTGCCACCATATATGGAAGAAAGTGCCCTGAGCACCCTCTGAAGCAGTCAGGAGATGTCCCTGGAATTATCCTGGCGGGGACCATGTACCATCTGGATAGCACCTTATAGTTGGCCTCCGTTAGGGATGTATTAAGTGAACCGGGGAGGCCTCGGTGGCAGCATTGCTGCCAGACCTCCATCTGGAGGAATCTATCAATTGCCATATCTACCTCCCATTCCAACATAAACGTTGTTTTTGTCTTTGTATCTACCAATATGAGGTAAATTATTGAAATACCCCCCCCCTCTGTCTACCACTCCCCACACACCACTTCTCGTATAGTGTGTGGAGTGGCTGACCAAGGGGTGGCATCCTCAATGTACCCAAAAAATGGAATATTTGACTTACAGCGTATTTTAGGTATAGAATATACTCGGGATCTAGGGGCTATTTTACAGGCCAGCAAGGTACCTATTTTGTCTCTCTGGGCATAAAATTTATTTTCTGACCAACGGAGACTTTTTTCCGCCCTGGAGGTCATTAATAAATTTAATTCTAGTCGAGTTTTGACCAAAGAGGTCAGATGTTCTGGTATTGGATTATTTTTATGGGTTCAACTGTTGGAGTTTGGAATCTAATTCGTTTATTCAATTGGACCTTCTTTTTTTATGTCTAGTGGCCAACTCAATGAGTCGGCCCCGGATTGTGGCCTTATGAGCTGCCCACACCATGGTAGGGGAGATATGCGGTGTTACGTTCAATTCAAAGTAGGTTTGTAGGCATATGCGAATCTCTTCATTTGATTCCTGGTCGCTCAAGACGGATTCATTCAAGCGCCAGTAGAATGGTCTAATCACATCCTCCATCTTAGACAGGCGTAGCGTTAGTATAGAATAATCCGACCAGGTCGTCTCTTTAATATTAGAGGATTGTGCTAACGGGACCAATGAGATCCCCACTAGAAAGTGGTCTATCCTAGAGTAGCTGGAGTGTACCTGTGAAAAGTAGGTATAGTCTTTGACTGTGGGGTTTAACTCCCTCCAGATATCTACTAATGAGTGCATGTTCAATAACTTTGCAAATGGCTTACTAGTCCTCGCATGGTGTTTGCTTTTACCCCCACCTGGGCCCCTTTTGTCCAGTATACTGTCCAGCGCGAGATTCGAGTCCCCTGCATATATCACCGCCCCCTCAGCATGGGGACACAACTTCTGCCACATACTGGTAAAAAATGATATCTGAGCTGAGTTCGGAGCGTAGTAAGAAATCAGGGTAACTAGTTTTTCCTCCAGATAGCCTTTTAGCATAATGTAACGCCCCTCGGGGTCCCTGATCTCCATTAATTTTCTAAAGGGCGTATTTTTATTAAAGCAAATGGCTACACCTCTGGTCTTATCCGGGGCGTTACCCATATAGAACTGGGGATAGTGTGCGTTGAGAAAGGTAGGTTGATATGATATGGGGAAGTGGGTTTCCTGTAAAAAAAGAATAGCCACTCTCTGCGATTGATAGAACTGGAAAGCCATTTTCCTCTTTACAGGAGAATTGAGTCCTCGAACATTATGAGAGGCAAGCAAGATGGCTTTAATAGACGTCGCCATCTTGTCCTATTTGACTATGAGTATCCTTTAGTGCAGCGGCCCCTAGGACCACCCCATCCGCTTGTTGCCTATCTTGCCCAGGCCCGTGTAGGAATGAGACCCCATATATATGTGGTCCCTGGGACAGAAACATACACCCCCAATTTCCGGGTGGGACCCGGATAAACACACAAAAATGAAAAAAAAAAAAAGGAAAGGGCCGATCCTCAGATAAAAGAGGCGGCCTACACAAAACATTACACTAAAAACCGGGGAACCAGTCCCAGGTCTGGTTATATATTCCATGTATCGTCATCCAGATCTTGTTGGATACCTAGGATACGCTTTGTATTGTGGTTTACACAGTCTACTGTTTTATCAAGTTTTAGTTCTATGGCCTCTATACGGATGCCCAGGTCTCTAATGTCAATACGGATATCCGAGGTAATTTGTTTGGCCACTCTATTTAGACCCTGCTCCAGCATTTCCGAAAATTTGGCTATTAAATCCATATGCCCGTAAGTCCCAGCCATATCGGTGTCCGTCTCAGTTAACTCAGGGCTGGAGGCATTGGAGGCTTGCTGCGGCATTAGAATATCCTCTAGCGTCCTCTCCATCAAAGAAGAGGGGGATCCCGGCGAGTGGGCCCCGCGGGACCCCGTAGTCACTGCGTCCAGGAGAGGTGAGGCTGGTCGAGTTCCAATGCTGCTACGCTCGAGTGCAGTGGGACGGCCGCCGGGCTCCACCGCTATCCTCCTGGAGGTACCGCCCCCTGACCTCGATTCCGTTGCGGGTTTAGCGTCCCTGCGCTTCGTCGACTAGCCCGCCATCAAGCTCTCACTCCCTTCCGCCGTCGGCGCCTGTGGATCGGACCCGCTTCGTGCTGTCAACCCGGGTATCCGCTGTATTTCGGCTGTGGGGCGGCCGTGCTGTTAGGAGGGGTGAGTCTGGTCCGTCTGGGCGCCGAGCTCAAAGCTCAGTCGTCTTGCCTCAAGCTCCGCGCATGCACCATCTGGCAAGTGCAGCCTCAGTGTACATAGATTTTACTTTTTTTACATACACAATTTTATTCTAGGTAAAACGGTTTTCTGGTGACTTTTGACTATTTTATTTTTTTAGTTTGTGTGATTTCTAAATAAATTGTAGAACCACATTGAAGAGTCTCAGGTCTGTGGTGGTTAGTTTCTGGAATGGTATTCATATAGTTATGAATTGCAACATCATGTACAGCAGGTTATCTGCTATACAACATATAAGGCTTACAGCATAACCAGAAAATGTTATATCTAAAGAGATTTAGATATATGAAAAAAAGGAGGAGAGGGGACCTGGAGGTGGTGGTTGTAGGAACCAATCTTGCTTTTGTTTTCTAATCTGCACTAAATAATGAGTTATAATCATTTTGCTGCAGGCATTGTTGCTGCGTGCACTTTGCTTCTAGTCCTTCGTTGTCCCCCCGCCATTACCTTTTTTTTTTTTTTCCTTTTTTTTTTCCTTTTTGTTTCCTCTTTGTCCCCCTTATCCCTGTAATATATAGGTTAATGTATTTTTATATTTGCAGCAGTTGAATTTTGTTTTCTTTTACTGTTATCTCAACAGGGTCGAGGCTCAGGATTTCCGAGGAGGAGACAAAGAGGTTCCGGGCTCTCCGGCCGTGGCGGAAGAGGCCGATCAAAATTAAAACCGCCTATAGGCAACTATATATTTCCAGGGGTACAATATTTTCTATATGATTTCCTCAATGCACATTGACCATCTTAGAAAGATGTTAGGACACTTTATAGAAGATAATTACTTTGGTACAGTTCTGCTTTTTTAACACTTGTGCACAAAAGGAAGTGTTAGGGTTGCATAGCAAACAGTTACATTCCTGTGGTTAGTCAAAGCTAATATCTGATTGGCTTTCAAATTCACTTGCTGCATCAGCAATCCTAAATTTAAAAAAAATCTAATTTATTTACCAGTAATAACTCAGAAAATTGCATCATGTATGTGGGGCTGAGTAGTATGGAGGGAATTACTTCCGCCTGTGGGCAGCCATTTCCCATGATGTGCTTTTGGTTTACCATTGTGGTTGAACAGTTTAGGGTTTACTACTTTTAATTCATATGGCATTCCCTCCACTGGGAGCACTATAGGTACAATTCACAAACCTTTACAACAAGGATTATTTTAGTTATGTGAATGTAATTTTTAAATCTCATTGTATCTTTTAAATTTAAATGGTGTTTTACCCCAAGTGAATTGAGCTTCATATTATGATTGTTATATTATTATACAGGATTTATATAATGCCATCAGTTTGCACAGCATTTTACAAAATGGGTGAAGACAGTACAGATGCAATACAATTTCAGTACAATAGGGTTAGAAAGGCCCTGCTGGTGAGAGATTACAATCTAGTAGGAGGGGCAAGTGATACAAACGGTAATAACTGTTGAGATTGAGTTAGTGGAAGAAGTAACTGGACAGTTATGTCGAGGTGGGATAGGCTTCCCTGAAGAGATGAGTTTTCAAGGATCGCCTAAAGGTGGACAGAGTAGGAGATAAGCGGACAGAGTTTCAGTTTTGATTTTCAGAACAATGACAGACTAAGAGTTGCCAGAAGAGTGCACTCTTTGTAAATGACTCGCCTCTAAAATGATATTTCTCCCTGCTCAGCTTGCCCTAGCACTGGTCTATTAAATGGTTGTGTATGCAGGTCATGTACAAGACGGGCAGTCACAGTGTTAAGGCAAATATTCATATTAACATTCTGCTGCTGTTAGAGTTAACAAGGTACAAATTGATAGGTGTGTGTTAGTGCTCTAGTGACTAGTATTACAGAAAGGCTGGGAAAGTTTTGTTTGGGGATGATGTGCTAATGCTGGAACATGCTGGATATTCCTGAGACCTCTGAATGTTCTTTGTTCCTCTTGCAGTTAACCACAGTTGATCTTTCAGCATACAAGGAGGAGGAAGAAACCTCAATGCACAACACAGTTGTATTATTTTCCACAAGCGACAAGTTCACCTTGCATCAGGTTGGCAATTATTTTCTCATTAAGGGTCATCGCAAAAAAAAGCTGAAAAAAAAACATTGTTTGCACATTTCTTGTATAAAAAATACTTCCCCGCCAATCAGCATTGAGGCGGCTTCCCGGCCAATTAGGAAGCCAGGTGGCTGGTAATGACCCACCTAGCTAGATGATTTGAGGATCTACAGCTGAGTGATACACAAATAAGATACATTTTTGTTAATAGCTATGGTACTTGAATGCATTTTTAAGATTTAACGCCTTAGTTTAGTGTCACTTTAACTCCACTTTTAGAAATGTTTTAATTTTTTTTTGTTGTATGTTGTGTAGGTATCGCGATTGTTCAATTGTTCTGCCATATTGGAGTGTAGCCTCACAATGTGTTTTTTTTTGCCTGGCAGGATATGTGCGTGGTGTGCGGTAGTTTTGGTAAAGGTGCTGAAGGAAGACTACTTGCTTGTTCACAGTGTGGGCAGTGCTACCATCCATACTGTGTCAGTATTAAGGTAAGACCCATTCTATAATTAAAAGATGCAGCAGTTCCTCATCCAGGCTTCAGACAACAATATCCGTGTATGTTTCAAAGTTCTCTTCTCGGGCCCTCAAGAGCAAAGAAGCTGTCCATACACTGGTAGATTTGCCAATGAATGTTCGTAGAAAAAACTCAGCAGAACATGCAATAATGCCACCAGAGACTTGACGAATGTCATTCAAAATTTAGTATGATTTTTACGATTCGATTTTTGAACGTATTACATTTCTCAAACCAAACCAGATTCACTGTTAGAATATACATCCGACTTTGATTATTTTTGTCACAACAGTTGTAATCCATCGTTGATTTGACACCATTAACTATTACAGAATCAAGTGAACATTCCGAAAATGAATTTTTCCGAACAAAATTTTACATACACATTTATCCATGTTTTGTCTCTAAGACTCCCACTGTACTGAATTCCTAAGTGGTGTTATCAGTCCAGCCTGAGTTCTCTGTGGGCTACATAACACCTCCCTCCTATCTCTATAACATAAGGTTGGGGGGACTGTAGTCCAGCAGAGGAAAATTATCACAGGACTGACAACACTGCTTGAAATTAGGAACTAACTAGATTTTTGGCCGGATCAACAGGTATTTTTCTGTATTTGCTGCATTTTGTAATCGCTATAACACAAGGAAATGTACAAGCATTGTAGATATGTACTTAATGTTTTTTTTTAAATTACCTGTGATAACATTTATTTATAGAAACGTTTTAAAATAAATGGTTAGAACTCCCCCCCCTAACTTTTTACTGCAATTATTATTGATCATAGTACTTGAATGTGCCTTTGACATTTTTAACAGTACTACCTGCCTTACTATTGGAATATATTTCATTGATGTGTTTGTCTTATTAAATCCAGATTAGTAAAGTCATCCTTCGTAAAGGCTGGAGGTGTTTGGAGTGCACAGTGTGTGAGGCCTGTGGGAAGGCCACAGATCCTGGCCGACTGCTGCTCTGCGATGACTGTGACATTAGCTATCATACATACTGCCTGGATCCGCCCTTACAGACTGTTCCCAAAGGAGGATGGAAGTGTAAATGGTTAGTTCCCCTCATTGTCATTGCTGTATTTTTGTGATAAAGTAGTAGAAGCATTTGTTGCTACTGCTGTCTGTTTTCCTTTTAGTAACACAGTTGTGAATACACTTTCTTTTGAAAGGAAAACCTAATTGATGTTTTCAGCTCTGTGAAGACTAGGAATGCCCCGATACCAAAAACCAATACCGGAGCTTTACATTTTCACATGGAAAATTTGAAAAATACCATCAGCTATAGAGGCCCACAAATCCCAGCAATACATTATACAACAATGCAGAAGAATACGATTATTCTTCTGCATTGCTGGATAATGTATTGCTGGGATTTGTAGTCCTCTATAGCCAGTAGCATTCTGTATTGCTGAGATGTGTAGTCCCTCTACAGCTTGGAGTCAGTGGCAGAACTTCCAGGTTTGCAACTGCGACCAGGCCCTGGCACTCCTAAAATCACCAGTCTGTAGAAAAACTGTCACATAACACTAAATAAAAGGTATCGATAATTAATATCGTCAAGCGTTGGCACTCGTTCTGGAAATAATGGTATCGGTGCACCCCTAGTGAAAACCTTACACCCAGTCCCACCCAATGCTTACTGCATATTGCACATAACTCTTACAGAATAAGTGAATCCTGAAGTAGAACCCCATGAAATCACAAAATGAAAGTAGTGTGGTTGGTAAGTGTAATGGATTATTTTGACACCTGCCTCCACTTCATCCTTTGCCGGGAATTGAGCTGTCAAAACACATCTCTTTTCACATCTCATCTTTCAAATGCACACTCCTGGTCTAAACTTTTCTTTGAATTGAAATAGTCAGCCTGATAAATAACTTTGGATGAACTTTTCCAATTAAAATAAAGATTGGACCAAAAGTGCACAGCATCAGTACTTCCAACACTGGGACATGTTTTCAAAGCTCCTTTCCTAAATTTGCAGTGGAGGACCATCTAATTCACTACCTCGTACCCTACTTCCATTTGTAATTTTATGGGGTGGTTCTTTGAACTAGAGAACCCTGCAGTCTAGTACTTAGGGGGGCTTCCAGCATGACCTGAAAATAGACAGAAATGTAGCTAATACTCGTGTTCATTCAAATGAAACCACTTCATCCATGGTCCCCTTATTTGTTTTTAATGCAGATGCACCTGCATGAAATGGTGTTTTATATATGCCTAGAGTTCACCTGTAAGTGTGATCTAAACATTGGATCCATCAATAAATTATATTTATGTATTACTTATTTCTGTAAATAGAATTGTCATGGTTGCTTCCATAAAGATATATGCTAAATAATGAAAGTTGAAAGTATGCGTTAGCAGCCTGTTAAAACACAGTTTAAAGGGGTTCTAAAGTCTCCGTTTTGTTTGCCTATATCTACTGCTATCAAGCAGTAGATATAGGCAAAAAGTTTAAAAAAAAAAAAAAACAGCGGTTTAAACTTACCTTGTTTTCGCTGCGCGCTCCTGTCCGAGAAAACGAAACTGCTCCGGCGGGCGCATGCGCAGTTTGGATTCTCGGCTGGGAGACGAGCAGAGACGCAAGGTAAGTTTATAGAGGCGTGCACCCACATACAGACACCGGTGGATCGGAAGTGCCTGCAAGCAGGGAGGAGTCTGCGCTGGATCGGAGAGCTGCCGCACCGCTGGAGGGACAGATGAAAACATCAGGAAAGAAGAAGAAGATTGGATTGAGAGACATCAGTTAAGGTAAGTGCTGACATTAACATTGGGGGGAGGGAAAAAAAATTATCCTTTTTTAATGTTACTTTAAGTTTAAAGCCCAATTGAACAATTAGGGGTGTATTTATAAAGGTTTTCACACAACTGTCGTCTAGGTTTTACAAATGTTTCTAATTGGATTCAGTTGGCTGCACTCACACTTCTCCATTAAACAACAATAGTTGTTTAATGTCTTACAGTTGGATTTCTTTCTAAAGCAGCCACAGCCTGTCACCTTCCAGTATGCTGCAGAGGGGAACCCTTGCTCTCTGTGGGGAGCCAGAGATCCAATACATTCCTTTATGATTTAAAGCCAGAGCACTCACAACAGCAGAGAGAATGAGCTTTGCTGATTTCCGAAATATGCTTATTGTTTAGTTGTCTGGTTTAGATGCATGGCAGGTTTGAATTTTACTTAAAAACTTTATCTTAAAGACTCTCTGGGTTAGGCCACATACATATCCTGAATGTCACTTTTTTCCAGGTGTGTATCATGTAACAACTGCAAAGCAATAACACCGGGGCTGCGATGTGAATGGCAGAACAACTACACACAGTGTGCTCCATGTGCTAGTTTGGCTACTTGCCCAGTGTGTGGCCAGAACTACATAGAAGATGAAATCATTCTCCAGTGTCGGCAGTGCGACAGGCAAGTTCTTGTCTGTTTCATTCTTTTGTTAAGCATCTCTTGTGTTTTTTTATGGCTTTTATTTTTCTTACAATTGTTTTGTATTCAGGTGGTCCCATGGCACCTGCCAGAACCTTAACACAGACGCTGAGGTAGAGAGCGCAGCAGACGGTGGATTTGACTGTGCTATGTGTAAGCCGTTTGCAATACCAGCTCAAGGTAATTGCGTTGTGTGTTATATCAATTTGTAAATCCTGCAAGTCATTGCTAGCTTCTTTTATGTCACTCGTAATGTTACCCTCCATATAGTTTTCGTTTGAGTTGTTTTCAGGACCAGCATTTAAAAAAAAAGAACCTAGAATGCTCTTCTACCCATCTATCAGTAAAATTATCTTTTTTTTTTTTGCATTGCTCATGGTGACACTGCCCTTCTTCAGTTCCCTTTCTAATCCCACTTCCTAAGAGCTTGCTTCTAGTGGGGCAGCAGAGGGAGTCTCATTCCTATTGTTGGTGAGATCCTTTCTATTCTTGTGGAAGGGGGGACCTCATGGGAACTTAAAGCAAAAATCTCACCATCAGTGATGAAAAAGAAACTGATAGGGGATTTTAGTATCTAGCATCTGCTAAAAACTACTAAAACAGCTCTTATTTATTTTTAAGACTATACATAGTTAAAGATGGAAATGTTTTCTTTCTCCTTGTTAAACTGTGATGGCCACTTACTTTACTAGGTCAGGCCATCACAGGGTCAGAGGTCACCTGAAGTCTGACAGCCAGCTGACCACTCGTTTTGAGTGTGCAATATGTAAGGTCACGCAGCAGAGCTTCAGAATTGAAGTAACCCCTGCCCCAAATGCCCCCCCAATACTTAAGTAAAAGAGTACATCTCGTTATAAATCAGACTGCACATTTATAAATTAAAACGTATAAATATATCTACAACAAAGAATTTCTGCATTTTGGGGATTTTATTTATTTATTTTACCACTCATGGGTTTTTTTTTTTTTTTTTTTTTTATAAAGCTTTTACAGTGTTTAGCTTATATTCGCCTTTTCCCTTTTCACAGTTAGAGCTAGTTATAGAAAACAAAACTTGTTTAGGAAACATTTTGATTTGCTCATTATGGCAATTTTTATATTACCCCATCTTGGGCCTTTTTAATGTTATCTACTGAAATACACCACATGAATAAAGCTGCAAAATTGCAATGTAAAGCGGAACTACAACTTTCTATCCCTTACAGACAAGGAAGGTGCCATCTTAACCTATGTTTGGATTGCAGTTGCAATGGTGCTGTGCATGTGATCAGCTATGACACAAGCCATTTCAGGGCTTGAAAGTTTGGTTGAGAGCTGAAATAAGCCCACTGACAACTTTGACGGCAGGCATGCTTTAAAAGTAACTTGTTTTTGGAGCCATTTAGTTGGTGGGTAAATTTGCTCTTTTAAAAACATAGCAGGTTTGGAATGACACTATAACAGTGGCAAACATGACTTCTTCCTTCTAACTTTGTATAGGTTTGTGTCTGGTGGTTTCTCCACAAATGTGGAAAAAAAAAACCTGAAAAACCTTTTTCCATATTTCCAGCTCACCCACCTTCTTTATATATGGTTGGTGATCCATGAAGACAGAAAACGACACCCTATAAATCCCTGTCATAAACAATACGTTAATACATGGGAGCAGGATTTTGTAAAGTCAAAACTTGCTCAGGGATTTCAGAGTGCTTTGGTAGTAAATTGTGGTAGTTGATAAATGCAAGAAGTGCAAGCATGAGCAAAGTAGGAGTTCTCTTTACAGAGCATTCAGTGTGTTTCGGGTTATTATATATGTTCCTGATTTACTGCCTCCTTTTTGAAAAATGGCATACTGATGTAATATAATGGTCTGTAATCTAACAGTTATATGGCATTTTGATTTGTTTGTTTATTTTCTCCAGAAGAAATTGAATCTCCAGTGGATGCCCAGATTGTCTTAAAAATTAGAGAACCTGGTAAGAAAAGTTCAAGTGTCTAATTTGTCTGTTCCCTGGAAATTTTCCTTTTTATTCTCTCATGCTGCACTAGAAGTAGGAAAGGAAGAAAGTTGTTTTTTTGGGCAACACAGAGTGACTAAGACACATTAATAAATGAGGCCTATTGATAATAAATAAGCCCTTGAGGACTTCAGCATAAATGGTTGTCACACTGAAGCCCTAGAGAATCTTAGGGCTTGTTCACACCAAGTACATTGATCTACATTGATCAACACAGGCTCAATACAATGACACTGAGAAAGTTGTTGTTTTCTGTGTGTTCTGTTCATACCTTACAATTGTGCAGGTGTGCTGTGCATAAAAATGCAGTGTACAAAAATGTACTACAATGTGTAAAGTCAAGTTTAAAAAAAAGAAGTTTAACTGCAATGCACTCTAGCAATGTAGCAGTGCTCAACAGCTATAGAGAGACATAAACGTAAAACCAGGCAAATATTGTAAACCCAAAAGAAAAACTTTATTATGCTTTATGCCACCAAGTGTTTCATTTATCACTCTTTTTTTGTGGTTTAATGAAGTAAGAAGCTGTAATGTTCGTGCCTGTATTCCACAAATGTCACTTTAAGATTTTTGCTTTTTATTTCTTTTAAGATGTTCTCAAAACCTTTACCCAGGACGGAGTGTGCTTGACAGAGTCTGGACTTTCACAGTTACAGAGCCTAACAATCACAGCACCGAGGCGGAGGCGATCAAAACCAAAGTTGAAATTAAAAATCATCAACCAGAACAGTGTAGCAGTTCTCCAGACACCTCCTGACCCCCAGTCTGAGCATTCTCGTGATGGAGAAATGGATGATAGTAGAGGTAATGTCTTGTTACCATCACTATGTTGTCCTGCCCTTATGTCTATTGATTTTTAGATCAATTTGCTAGGTTACTGGTGTTAGGCTGCATTGTGCATAGTTGTGCCTAAATGGTTTACTAGAAGAGTTTGTCTTTATCTTGGCAATAGTTTGTGTTTTGTTTGGTGTATATTGGTCTAACATGTGCCCAGATTGCCCCCCTCTAATCTATCATGAACGCTTCAGCCAGACTCCTCTACCTTCCCTACCGCTACTCTCACATGTCACCCCTCTGTCAATCTCTGCCCAGAATTCCTGTTTCTTTTAGGATAGACTTCAAACTTCTCAGCCTTACCTACAAAGCTCTGCATAACCGTGCACAGGCTTACATTTCATCCCTTATGAAAGATATCCTTCAAATCTGCTCCTTCGTTCCACTAATGACCTGAGACTATCCTGCTCACTCACACGCACACCCAACTCTCGTCTACAGGACCTCACCAGGGCTGCACCCACCTTATGGAATTCTCTCCCACACCACATCAGGTTCTCACCGTCCCTACAGGGCTTTAAAAAATCCCTCAAAATGCACTTCTTTAGAGAAGCGTATTGGCTCTCCTCTTGATTTCTCACCCTATACAACTTTCCCCTCTGCTCCCGTTTCACAGTACTTCCAACTCCCCTCCCAATTTATTTGGTATAAATCTGTAGTCTTCCCCAGCTCTGTGTCTTCGGTCCCCTTCCTCTTAGACTGTAAGCTCTTTTGGGCAGGGTCTTCCTCACCTACTGTTTCTGTATGTTAATGATGTGTGTCAGTGTTTATTACCTGTCTAAACGATTGTACAGCACTGCGTAATATGTTGGCGTTATATAAATGTATTTGTGTAGAGGAATTCTTTTCTGCCAGCTCTCTAGAGAAGATGGGCCATGCAATTGCTCGCATTTGAAATTCTGTATTTCAGAGGTATATGGAGAAAAGCAAAAAGACATGCAGTAAATGTCAAATCTGTTTTGGGTTTTAGACTGCTCTCCCTTCATCAGGGCTATAAAGTAATTGCAGAAAAGAATTTATGAATAATATTTACACAACATTTCTAAGAGCTTGTAATTGATAACTTACACTTTTGAGGTATTTATATGATCTATGTTTATATAGTCTTAAATTACTCCTCATACCATCAAGACAACTAATATAAAGAACCCTAATTGCATTGTCTTTTCCTGTACATGTGTATATATATATATATATACATATATATAATTTTTTTCTGGATTCTGCACTCATTGCTGACACTTTCCTCCATACACCACTGAGCCCCTCTGGTGACGTTTACACTTTCATTCTTGGTAACAATGGTCACCATATAAAATACTAAGTGATAATCTACCCAGCAGGGATACAGACTGCAATAAAAAGTTGACAGGGCTTCTAATCCTTCCCTACTTTATCCAAAACATAAAAAAGGGTTTTGCTCTACATTCACTTTAAGCTGATACTAATGCATGTATTTATGTCAATAGACTGGATTCATTTAAATATTTATAGGATGTGCAGCCCTTAAATGTGATATTTGTTTTGTAGAGGGAGATCTAATGGACTGTGATGTGAAATCTGACTCTAGTCCTGAGCGAGAACCTATTGACGATGACTCTAAGGGTGCAGAAGTGATGGATGGAATAAAGAAAAGGAAAAGGAAGCCATACAGACCTGGTATTAATGTTTTTCTGATCTGGAAGTTAACACCATTGTTATAGTTAATTCATTTGAATATATGAAATATTTGATTTGACTATTTTATGTTTAGCTCTTGCAGCCTAAAGATAATTAGCACAATCAATAGGGTTCTTCAGCCAATTTTGTTTTAGCCCTGTTGTGAAATAGATTTCAAGAGTAGCAGAGATCAGATCAAATGACTACAGAATGACACTGTTCCTTTTTTTTAATCATCAACTGAGATAGAACTGCCTTATTTTGTTATACACCGGTTGCCCACAAACTTACTTATTAAGTGTCATTGATGAAGCAATGCAGCAATAATTTATGAACTTGAACTTTGAAATTCTACCAAAAAAATATATCTAAATTGGTACTGTATTTTATGTTAAAGTTTCTTTGTACTAGCAACTTCAGCTTCCAACCAATGATCAGTCATTGAGCGGTGATTTGTGATATGACTTTTGTCATATACACAGATTTTTGCACTGTGCTAAAAGACACGTAGATTATTGGAATGTTTTTGTGCCAGAATTTCTGCATTCACAGAAGAGACTAAACTATTGAAATTCGGAATGCTTACAAACCTTAGAAAACAAAATAAATAAGATAAACTGATCAGTGTAACCTCCCTCCAGGTATTGGTGGATTTATGGTGCGCCAAAGAAGCCGAACAGGTCAAGGGAAATCCAAGAGATCTCTTTCCAGAAAAGATTCTTCTGGCTCAGTTTCTGAACTTGTGCCAGGCAGAGATGATGGTACGTCCATTTTTATGCTACATAATCGTAGTAAGCCTAGCACATAAGTGGCCCTTGTTTATTAAAATGTCTAAAATAAGAACTGCCTGTGTTGCCTCCTAACAACCAACCAGATTCAAACTTTCATTTTCCCTACAAGTTTGATTCTGGCTAGTTATTGTGTGGCAATGCAGACAGGTCTTGTGAAAGTGAATTTCCGGGACAAATGGAGATCCCTTATTTCATCTAGTGAAATGGAGTGGTCTTTACCTCCTATATCAAGCTTGTAAATAGATGGTTAGTTACATTATTGACAGACTGGAGGCTGACCAGTGACTTCCATAGAGGTGGCATTATAAAGTGTTTTTTCCAGTTGCCACTCTGCCTTTGGAGCTATGGGAAGGATTCCACTCTGTTACTACACAAAGGAGAGTGCCAAACGGGATTTCCTGTTCTCCTGAAAATCACCTGTGAAGACAGTTTGATAAATGAAGCCGCATGAATTTTAATGCTGGAAAGTTATCAGTGTTTCCCTGTGCAGTGAGCTGTAGATCTGTGTGGCATTTCTGGTGTGCCGGATGTCTTTCCTATTAGCAGACAGCATTGTGCCGTGTTGTACTATCTGCTACTATTAAATACATTTTTTCAAGGTAATACTTTATCTTCAGTTTCTGTTGAATCTTGCCATATGCTATGCTGTAGATATACAATTTGTCTTCTGAATTACATTCTGTGTACATCCTAAGCTTGGAATGAACCGCTGCCTGATAATCCAATGGATGAATGCGCCCCTATCACTGAGAACACAGAGAAAGTTAGGAAACGATACCGGAAAAAGAAAAACAAACTTGAGGAATCCTTCCCAACGTATCTGCAGGTAATTGCTATTTTTGTATTTTTAATGCATTCTGGACAGTCTGAAATGAACTTTGTTTTGGTACCATGTTTCTCTGCCCAGTTAAGATTGTGAGGACAAAAGCTACCTCAAGTGCCCTATAGGTAGAAGAGAACTTTGCAGATTGCTGAAGGAAGGTGAAACGTGAATGATATTGAAAACTTGCATAAAGCAAAGTAGTGTATCTTTATTAACATATCCAGGCTTTTTCTTGCATATATATGAGGGTAGCAAGCAGTAGATATATGCAAAAAGTAAAAAAAACAAAAAAAAGCGCTTTAACAGTGGTTTAAACTTACCCCGTCTTTGCCGCGCGCTCCCGTCCGAAAATCCGAAACTGCATCTTGGGGCGGGCGCATGCGCAGTTTGGATTTTTTGGCCGGGAGACGAGGAGAGACGCAAGGTAGGTCTATGGACAGGTGCACCCGCATGCAGACACCGTGGGACAGGAAGTGCCAGCAAGGACAGAGGAGTCAGCGCTGGATCGGAGAGTCGCCGCACCACTGGAGGGACAGATGAAAACATCAGGAAAGAAGAAGATCGGATTAGGAGACATCAGTTAAGGTAAGTGCTGGCATTTACATTGGGGGGAGGGGGAAAAATTTACTTTAATGTCAGTTTAATACTACTTCCGGGCCGCAGCACGTCTATAGACGGCGGCCTGCAGAAGTGGGTAAAACAAGAACACGGCTGCTCCGGCAGAGTCTCTCAGAGCCAGGACAAGAAGCTGGGAAAGCAGATCTCGGCTTCCTCAGCTTGTTTGGGGTCTCTAGGTGACATTAGGGGTCTAAAAGACCCCTGATGCCTCCATAAAGAGGACCTGTCACACCCTATCTGCTATTACACAGTGTGCTTGTTGGTCCCCTATGTAATACCAATATGGTTAGTGTACAAAAAAAAAGTGTTTAAAAATGAAAGTAACATAAAAAAAAAAGTCCCCCACCCCCAGATACATGCGTTGGAGCGCCTACGTGCGAAAAAAACCAATTGTGCTGCACATGTTACATATCGCCTCGAACGTCGCAGTGAGCAATAATGACATTTTTCTGCCGATACAGCAACGCTGTAAATCCCTGCTTTCTTTTCTAGAAACTGAAAACCGGCCGAGCGCTGCGGGAGGAGAGCGCTATGTTTGTGGGGTTTTTTGGGGGGGAGGAGGGGCCAAAAACAAAATCTTGCACCAGGGCCCTTTGTTCCTTAGGTCCGCCACTGTCTGTTATACAGTATATCAGGACTGGTGTGGCTTCCATAGAGTGCAATGAGTACATGGTAGTGTGTTACCATATGTTACTGTGTTCTGCAACTGTATTAGGGTGCTATTCACATTGAAAGGCTCCTCAATGCACATAATATGCGTTACCACAGCGCACTATTGTTAAAGTGACACTAAACTCAGGAGCTAAATGTAGCTTATTTATGCATCAGCTGTAGATCCTCAAATTATCTCTGAATTAATGCTGACACTGTCCTGTGTGTGTTGTAAAGTAGCCACCGCTCCAAGCTCACTCCTGTGATGGACTACAATCTCACACTTAGTTTACTAATTTGTATTGAGATTGTAGTCCATCACAGGAGTGAACTTGAAGCGGTGGCTACTTTACTACACTCACAGTGACCATGGGGAACAAAAGTAGCCACCCTCCAGAAGGAAGGACAGTGTCAGCACCAATTCAGAGATGATTTGAGGATCTACAGATGAGTTATACATAAATAAGATACATCTCTCAATAGTTAAGGTACTTGAATGCCGTTTTTAGGATTTACCTCCTCATTTTATTGTCACTTTAATGGACCCTTAGTCTGTGTGTCTGCTGACATTTTGTCACATAAGTTAGATTTCGTTCCTTTCCTCCTAATTCCTCCTAAATAGAGTTTTAGAGCTGAAGACTTCAGAGGGTGCAGATCTTTGTTGTATATTCTCTGCATATCACTTGTGAAAATTGAAAAATAACTTAATTACTTTATTTGGGGGGGGGGGTGTTACTTTGGTTGAATGCCACCTATAAATACTGTAGAACAGTGATAGTTTCAATTAAACAATTAAAATGCATACCGCACTCGCAAAAGTGCTTGGCAAATGAGCACAGAACATAAAATCAATCTGAAATGAGACTTGCTCAAACCATTGGATGGTTTGACCAACTGTTGAACTTGTTCAGTATCAACTACCCACTGCCTCAAGTTTGCATCTTGGCCTACACATTTTAGGGGTGCACCCTCTTCCTCAGGGCTGTGAAGTGCATGGTGCACCCTCAAAAAGTCTCACAGTCTGGAGAAAGCTACATGTCTGCATATTTATGGCAAATTTTGATTAACTTTTGGATGGAACTAAATGACCAGCGGTACTGTATCCTTTCAACACTTGAGCGCTGACAGGTTGCGTTTATTTGTGTATTTATAAATTTGTTTTTGTTTTTTAAATAGAATTCAATTTGAATGATCCTGAGAGAACGTGTGTTAGTCTTCTATGAAAGTTTATAAATCATCTCCTTAAATTGGATATAAAACCCAATCCCTGAAAACTCATAAGATAACTTTAAAATGTTCATGTAAATTCAAAAGTCATTTTCAGTATTTTTAAATCTGCAGCTTTCATTAACCCCTTCGTGACTGACGACGTACAGTGTACGTCGCCAGCATCGGGGCTGTTTAAACAGACTCCCGGCGACTTTTGCCGCCGGGAGTCTGTTTAAACTTGTAGAGCCGACTGTCGGCTTTACAACAGAAGCGATCCTGGCGACTTACCTGTCGCCAGATCGCTTCTGCGTCCCGAAGAAGGGGCCGCCCCCCCCCCCGGACACCCCCGCCGTGCTTCCCGGGCTCCGTTGCCCCTCCTACGGGCCCGGGACCGGCGATCTTTGTGTCCGCGGGGAGCTGGGGAGGAGGTCGACGAACTTCCGTTCATCGATCCCCTCCCCGTTCTATGGGACCGGGAGCGATGCAGATTGCATCACTTCCGGTCCCTGGGCTGTCAGTTCTGGGCTCCTGCAGCCCAGCTATAAGCTATTGAAGTGCGATCTGCACTTCAATAGCTTATTTCCAGTGTAAAGGTGACACTGAGGGTCTTTTGGACCCCCAGCATCACCTTAAAGAGGACCTGTCACCACCATCTGCTATTACATGGGGGGGCTTGCAAGCCCCCCCATGTGATAGCAGTCAAAGTAAAGTAAAAAAAAAAAAAAAAACAGTTTTTAAAATTAAAATGAAATAAAATAAATCTAATAATAAAAAAAAATTTAAAAGTACCCCGCCCCCGCGAGCACGCGCGTCGCCACGTAAACACGCGTCGGGTGCGCCTACGCATGAAAACGACGAACGCGCTACACATGTTGGGTATCGCCGCGCACGCCGGAGTGAGAGCAATAATTCTAGGGCCAGTATTTTGGGGTATCTCTAAATTGATGACCTGTGGGGGCTTTTAAAGTGTCTTTTATTGACTTTTTGGGGTACTGCAGTTTTTCGCCGTTTCACGGTCGCACGCAATCTGTAAACTGGGCATGTTGGGTATCGTTTTACTCGTTGTAACCTCATCTTTTATATTTCATTAAAAAAATGGGTAATTTGTTGTGTTTTGGGGCATTTAATTAAATTTGTCACTAAATTTTGGGGTTTAATAAGGAGTTGCGCTAATATTGCGCAACATAAAAATTTTCAACTACCACCATTTTATTCTATAGGGTCTTGGCATTCAGAAAATATATAATGTTGGGGGGTTTTATGTCATTTTCAGGCCTAAAATGTGGAATATAACATGGGTGCAAAAAATGAAAAAAGGGCCTCAGTCATGAAGGGGTTAAAATAATGCCCATTTAACTTGCCATGGAGGTCCTCAGATGCTTCGTTGTAGGGTGGTATCGCTCTGTCCCTATCTCTGAATTGTGCTCCTGTGTTGTCACTCTGTCACAGAGGCTTCTGATGAAGATTACAAGTGGCTGTTTTAGCACACTTAACATAGGCAGGGTTCACTGTTGTCAGCGTCGGAAAACCTGCCATTAATCCAATACAAGAGTGCTTGCATATAGGCAGGAAGAGACTGCAGGAGATCAGTGGCACTAAGATGTAACAAAGATTAGAAAGTGAAAACAAGTATTTGTTTTCCGTGGGACAAACTGTCATTCAATTGTTTAAATCTGCAATAAATGCTTATCTGATTTGACCCCAATGTAATGAAAGAATGGATCCACATTTCTAGAACTGCCCCATGCTTTACTGATGCTATTTTCTCCACATCCGTAACGTGTATCTGAAAATCATAATCGCGCCTCACAATTTACCAAGTCACTCCAATTTCACCCTTACCATTTGAAAAGAGAAGCTTCTTTTGTCATATCTGAAGTGGTACTTGGTAGCTGATTGTTTTGTGTGCGGTGGTTTTGATGCATCTTAACCATTTAAGTTGTTTCAATCTTTACAGGAAGCTTTTTTTGGGAAAAACCTTTTGGATACCAGTCGACAAAACAAGCAGAGCATTGAGCATTTGTCTGAGGATGCCGCCCATCTGCCGTACAAAGCAAACATTAATGCTACCTTTTTGGATCCATCATCTGACCCCCTGCTCAGCTCGGCTGCAACACCCTCAAGAACCACGAACGGTAAGGGCGGGCAGTCACGTGACGCATGTATAATAGGAAGCCTGTGTAGTAGCCAATTTACACCAAACGAGCAAGAAAATTGCTGGCATTTGCTATCATTTTTACATTGACATTTATAAGTGTATTATAATGTATTTCAGGCCTTTTGAAGCATGGTGGGAAACGCTGTTGTAATGAGCATTTAGGAGGTTTTCACAGGGTTGTGTGAGCTTTTTCATAAATTACAATGCTGCAAACACTTCAATATTCTAGAAAAATGCTTTTAACTAAACATTTTTCACAGTTCCCAAAACCAGAAAAATATATATATTGTGTGCTTCCTAAAGGGTATCTAAACCCCAATACAAAAATGTAATATGTTTCAGCTTACCACCCCAAATGTGGTTAGCTGCCTTTCCTTTTTTTAAGGCTTACCTAACCTCCCCCCCCCCATTTTCAACTCCCTATACTGCCAGTAACACATTTCTTATCTGAGGGTCACAATGCTTACTCCCCATCTCTATGAAGCAGTGTTTTCTTCTGATTTTTACTATAAAGACCTTCCCCTCCTAATTTCAGTTGCATATGGTTGGGAGAAAGTGGTTGTGTAGTTTAGCACACAGGAAGTTACAAGGATGCTGGATTTCTATCAGGATTAATGTTTTGTTTTTCTGTGTTTGCAGAAAATGTACTTGGCTGGAAAAAAAGAAAACTAATGCAGCCACTACATCTAAGGACTGGTAAGCAATGGCAATGTATTACATTTATGTTCTTGGCTTTAGATATACTTTAATATCACCTGCAGGCTTACTGCTGCTTCTCCGCCGGTGCTTAGTTGGCCACCGAAAGTCATGTAGAATCACAAATAATAAACGCTTATTTTGAAGTTTCATTGTGTCATTAATTAATTTTCTTTCTCTCTTGGATTCTGTATCTTCAAGACATTTTATAAAGTTTTTTTTTCCCCACACAATTTATCCTAATTGCCCTCTTTACAAATCACAGGTTTTATGACCAGTTCCCCAGGCTTTTACATTTATATAAATGTGTAAATTGCTATTCTTATTAATAAAACTAGTGAAAACTGATTATTGAATTGAACCCTTTGAGGACACTGTAGAATACACAGTAAATGTAATTGTTTTAACTGATAACAGTCTCATTGCAGTCCCTGATGTGCTTAGCTGCTGTAATCGCCCTCTCCTGCCACCCATGTTAACCAGTGTATAGCGATCCAGGCACTTTTAAAACTTCACTGCACAGACTATGTAGTAACTTAATGCTTGCATTAATTGCCACCAATGACGATTGCAATTTTGCAGCATTCCTATGAGAGTTGTGTTTGACCTTTTTTTTTTTTTTTTGCTCTGTCATTCTCCAAGGTGGTTCTCACGATCCTCTAGCAGATCTGTCTGAAGTTTTGAACACAGACGATGACATTTTCGGTATTCTTTCTGATGATCTTGCAAAATCATCAAATCAGTCTGGTAGGATTTTCTGCATCCAGTTTATTTTAATTTCATTATTGTCTCCCTGATATATTTTGCCCTGCGGTACTTATTATTTCTTACGACATCAGTTCACCTAAGTAAACATGTTTGGTTTTAGCTGCTATTTCTCTGCTTACAATATGTTGTGTATTTTGCGTTTTCATAAAATTTTTGCTTTGATCACAAATTTTAAGCATGTTGCCTTACAAATTCACCTCGCTTCTTTCTTTATTATCACCTCCACTTTTTCTTTATTATAATCATCCATTTTATCTGGTTTTGGGTTCTGTAGGTCTTGATTTATGCCCTTTCCAGGTTGAGAATTCATCCTCTCCTTTTGGTAAGATGAACTAAGGAATTTCCCTTTCCTCCTTGCTAGTTATCTGGTAGCTCTCTGTCTGCTAGCATTCTGTATGCATGTATTACATTCTACTGCTTTTGTATATTGTCCTTGTCATGTATTTCTCTTTGCTGTTTATTTACAAAGAAAAGTTTATATATATATATATATATATGTATATATATCTCTGCTAGCATTAGTTAGGTGTAGTAGAGCAGGGGTGGGGAACCTCTGGCCCTCCTACCCCTGTAGTAGAGTAGCTTTTGGCCAATAGAAGCTTTCTCTATGGACCCTAAGGCACAAGATTTCTCCTTCTTTTTGGATATATGTATTTGCAGACTAACGCACAATGCCATTGTGAGAATTTCACTAGCAAGAATATTCAAGAAAGAATATTTAGTTCTCCGATTAGTGTACAAGTGCAATACAAGCTGAAATAGCTGCAGTTTATAACTCTAGAATAGGTGATAACTGCGTTCTATGAAGGTGCAGTACAGAATTGGATTTGTGGTGTTGACTTAACACAGCATATTTTAAGCTAGAATTAGATCACACATCAGGTCTAATATGAATCTTTTTTTTTTAATAGGTTTTGCCAGCAGGCATTGTTAGATAAATATAGTCTATGAACAGTTTTATATGAGTTATTGAATCTAGGGAAATAAGCAGATCTTTTTCATAAGATACTTAGAATAAACTGTGCTTTTAATTGAAGTCCATGGGAGGGTTACTGTATCTGTGCCTTTGCACAGCACTTACAGCTTTAATGTTCTTTAAATTGCTGAGGACACTCAGCTGCCACATTTGCTATAAGCAATAGACATATTGGCCCCATAAACAACTGTTTTCTTCAAGTGATCTGACCTAAAGTGCTTCTAAGGTAACAGTGAAGTGCAAGTATCGGTGTCAGGCTTGGGGGCTTGTTGACACCTGCAGGAATATGTTTTGCCATGCATAACGTGCGCCTACTGGTGTGTGGTTTGCATCCTTGCAATGTGTTGTAGCAATGCATCACAGTGTTTTGTTTTTATTTTACTTTATTGAGCATTAATACACACTTCATTGTAAGGCGTTGTTGTGGATTGTGTAAAAATACAGACATGCTGCATTTTGGCACATCGAGAACAATTGTTTACTGTTTGGCCTTGAATGAGCCTGCATTCATCAATGCAGCTCAGCGGTCATGGTGTGAACGAGCCCATAATCCCTGTGTCCCCTTGACACCTAGGCTCAGGCTGTACATGGGGCCTTGACTTCTGAGGTCAAGCCCTGCTTTTTTTTCTTAATCTTGTCACTTAAATGCTAGTACCCATACTGCTGACATCCTGTCATCTGATTTAATAACAGGTCAGGGCTTATGCTGGCCATGCAAGTAACAGGTTTTTTAGACAATTTCAACCAGCTTTCAATCTTTATAATTACCAAGAGCACCCTACCAATAACAAGCTTTATCAACTGGCACACTTCAGTCAATTGTATGAAGCACATACACACATGCAAGGAGAGTTTTCACCTCCTGTAAAATTAATGTCATGAATGGACTCCACCCCGTAGTTTACTGTACAAAGAAGTCAAGTTAGTCTATATGTATTTTAGAGTTGCCGTAACCCATCACCTTCTTATAACTAACATTTGATTAATATTCCCCCTAACACAATGTTCTGTGTATTTGGATACCTACAATATCCATTGTGGCCCGTGAATAAGCTTTGTTTTTCTGTGCAGCTTATTTGTATAGCTTTGCATTAATTTCCCTTTGTTTTTGAGCTTGATTCTGTAATCAAGTCAAAGTTCCCACTCAAAAGTGATATTTCAGGTATAGGGAGTGTCTGGTGGGCCAAGTCACCTGTACTCTTCTTATATCTTCTTGGCACTTGAGCCATGAGATCTCCCCGGGGTTTAGAGGGTCCTAACCCACTGTGGTCTTCTCCTGCTTCTCATACTGTGTTATTGGATATTGGTACCCCTGTTAATTCCTGAGGCTGGAATGATGCGAGTCTAGAGATCTCTCCACTAGAGTCCCTCAGAGATAGAAGAAGCTAGGTATATATTTTGACTCTTTACAATTTACCAACACTCTTTTGGGTGGACCTTTCATTATGTATCCCTTCTAATTGTTTGTGGCCAGAATGTTTTCCTGAAAGGTTCCCTTGTTTGAGAGAAGGGGATTGTATTGAGAAGGGGTCTTTTAATGTGAATGTTTATGGTATCTTGTTTGTCCCTACAGCTGGACTTGACGTAGGTACAATGTCAGATGATTCATCATCGCTGCCTCATGCCAGTGGCCCCCAAAGCTCTCGGCCATTAAGTGAAGACCAACTGGATGGGATTCTCAGCCCAGAATTAGACAAAATGGTTACAGATGGTAAACCCTGCTTTGCTGTTTCTATTTTTGTTATCCACCCATCTACTCCAGTGTGATAGGCTTAGAAGCCCTGTCATTATTTTATTGCAGCCTGTGTCCTCATTGGAGAGAGATTCTATTATTTTGTGTTGGGACAAAGCACATTTTCTTCGTAAAGTGGGGGGAAGGGTCAGAATCTCTGTCAGGTTATTATTACTGCATTTCACTTCCTGTCCCAGTGATAACAGCTCCACTTATTGCTTGTACTATGGTCATAGGCACTGGAGATGAGCTGTAATCGCCTCAACAGGCTTTTTGGACATTAATATTTAACATGAGTTTCTTTCTCTTTCCAAGTCGATCCAAAATGAAAAAAGAGGAAAAAGGCTTTGGGCTTTAACATGTCAGAACTGCTGCATACGCTTTTTTTTGTGTTGTGTTATTGAAGCTATGACATGGAACAAAAGATCCAACCAGAAGTGAATGATCTAATACCCCATAGCTAGTATAATTGCCTTTAGTTGGAGGAGATTGTGACTGCATCATGTCCTGCCACATAATGGGCTTTGTAGTGATCTCTATCCGCAATCTATGTTTTTTAATTTCAAAAGGGCTCATCTGCTTACACAAGTGTATAAGTGCCTTGCAAGCTGGTATTAGAATCTAGTTTAGAAAATGTTCCTAATGTATATAAAAGTATTCTTGTTGTGCGTAGCAATAAAGGCTTTTTTTTCTTTTCCCCATTTTTATATTTTCCCTGGAAGAACAACCGAAATGTATTGTAATAGATTCTTTTTTTGGTTTTTTTACTTGCCATATATATGTGCTTGTTTTTGGAATTTCACACTTGTAGTGATTAACAACATTTACTTTTTTTTTTTTTATTCCTTCTCCATCAGGTGCAATTTTGGGAAAGCTGTATAAAATTCCAGGTAATTTTGACCATCCTAGGTTTACACTTTAACGTCACTCCAAATTATTTTCACTAGAATACATCTTTTAAATATTTGGTTCCTGCTCTTTCTGTTGGGTTTGCAGAACTTGAAGGAAAAGAGGTTGAAGATTTATTTACTGCTGTGCTGAGTCCTGTAGCCACCCATCCGCCATCTTTGCCACAACCGCCACCACCTTCAGCTCATCCCCATCCTCCACATACACAGCTCTTGCCTTTGCAAAACCAGGGTAAGTTTGAGTCCTGGTTTAAGCCTTTGCTCTACTTTAAAGGCCTGGTAAAGATGTTTCCCAAAGTCTAGGTTCACTTGATCATACTTTTCCCGCTGTCATTATTTTATCCTTGGGTTGTCGTGACATGTTTTACCAGCAGCTGGGGATAGGAAAGCATAGAGGTTCATGGTCCGTTTTAATTATATTTTTCTTGATGATCCTTTCTATAAAAGCTTTTTTGGCAGATACATGGCACCTCTATGACACAAGCATGCAGGACCTATGCAAATCAGTAGACATGTCTCTGTCTTAATGCTGCTATGGGGAAAGTCATTCTGCAGTGTGTGTGCAATCCGATCTCCCTAGCACTTCAGGCCCATTGTAAAGCAGCAACTAGTTTTTAAACCAGAAAACATGCTTGCTGCTTGTGGTCTGTAGGCTTCAAATGGTAATTATTCATATACAGTCTTTTACATATACCTACATATATCTGTTAGGGATCCCTTACCTGTTAAAGCAGCATGTGATTCTTAGAGCAAGCATACCCTAGCTCCCATCATTAGATCATTTTTACTACATGATGGGATAACCAAACACCTGGGTGCAAAACAAATGGCCAAAAGCTTCCGAATCTAGCTAGTGGCACACATCATTTTGCCCTCTGCACCTTAGTATTCGTTGTGCATTTTGTGTTTCTAGTGATGTGTGATTTGATGGCCAGTAGAAAGACTCTGGCAATGGATAGAGTCTAGCCAGAAGTGCAGTCAGAAAACGGTGGTTGTCATTGACATCCCTGGTCTTTGGAATTGAGGTGCAGTGAAAATTAAAGGATGCAAGCAGGCACCTGAAAGTGCTTCTTGTGGATCAGGGGCCCCTTTTGGAACATAAGAAAACCACCCACAGGTTCCCTTTAAAAAGAAAAACAAAACTTAGAAACTTCTATGGAAGTGTGCTTGGTGCATACACTTAAAGTTACAGTCATGGTCCTAGCTGTAATTTTTTGGACCTGTTGTGTAACGGATTTCTAGTGAACTGAGAAGTGAAGTTTAAGGCAGATTTAGATCTCCCCCTGCCATTTGAGGCCCTATAAATGGGCATCAATGACATCCTTTTTGCAGCCCTCAGTACCTAAAACTAGGCATGCGCCAATACCGTTTTTTCGGTATCGAGTAGTGCCAATATTTTTTTTCAGTACTTGCCGATATCGCTTACCGGTGCTGTGTGCTCAGATTATCAGAAATTCGGGCGGCGGATCATGACCAGTCGCCCAGCTTCCTGATTGCTGCAAAGCCAGTGTTCTAGCGAAAGAACACTGGCTCCACTTGAGGCTGCCTGACTTCCTGACCAATCAGAAAGCCGGGCGGTGAGTCATGAGGTGCCATCCGGCTTCAAGATTGGCTAGGAAAGCAGCTTCACTTCCTAGGCAGCCTGGCTTCCTGACCAATCGGGAAGCTGGGAGGCCGGTCATTACGTGCCGGCCGGCTTTCTGATTAAAATGGAAGTCTGCTCTATGCTCCCTTGTCACTGCCGGTCAGAGACAGTGCAGACTCCAGCAACTGTTGGTCTACTAGCTTGTGGGAGGTAGTAGCGGAGTAGCTGGATTGGCTGTGTTTGTGGGGACACACACGCAGCTTACTAGCACATACAAGGGTGCCTGCGGAGCACGCTGCTTGAGAAAGGAGTCACTCTGAAACAGGAAGTCAGGACCAGTGCTCAGGGGACTTGATGATTCTGCAGCAATCTAAAACTTTTAAACATCAAGGAGCAGCATTCATTGCAAGTGATATAATCAGCATTTGAAATAACGTAAAATCCTTTTGACTTTAATATCACTGTAACCATTGCAAGTTTGATGAATTAGTTTAGTCTGTTAACATTGTGTTCATTGTGGATCCATACAAATTTTCCACTAAACAGAGCAAGTGTGTAAGGACATGTGTCAATGGGAAAATTCAGCATGCTTTCATGTGCATTTACTCTACATTTAACATCAACTTGAGACTCTTATGAGGTATGACAGGTATATATAACCTACTTGTGCCCAGCATTTGACTTCCTAAGTTGCATCAACCTGCTAGAAAAGAGAGGTAAAAGTGAAGGATATATGGCAGTTGTGTCACAGCTAGACTTGTGATTTATTGTCTATATGTTTGTTTTAGAGGTGAGCTATATAATTTGGTAGCATATATGAAAATGTTTGCTTTTCATATATGGAGGTGCTCTTTGAAACAGGGTATGACTTTCTAAGTCAGGCTTATGGTATTACTGGGTATACCACTGAAAAAGCTTTAAAAAAAAAAGTTTCCACCAAAATCTATGAATATCAGGACTGTTGTAAATCTTTGAATCACTGGGATATGACATACATTATTTTTCATACATGTCAGAAATTACAGTGGGAGGGAATTTTTTTTTTTTGGTAACCAGAAATGTGCTGTCAATGAGTAAGAAAGTAAAGAATGACAAAAAAAAAAGAAAAGCTTTTTACCTCTTGATTTGATAAATCCTCATCTATTGTGCAGTGATCAGCCACCTGATCACTTTCCTATAATCCAAATTCCGCCTAAATATGAAGACTTCCATTTTACGTAGTTGCTGGCAGGTTAAAAAGTGACGACTTCTTATATTTCTCATCCTAATGAGATGTGCACATTGAAATTCCCAGCACTGCGCAACTGCTGAAGTCTATACATATATGTATGTGTCTTGTTGTCTCCATATAAACCTCTGGCTCTCATCCACTGCTTCATATAGTGAATCGGGACAATTAGCCAAATTGGGATAACACCTTCTTTTGGTTTCTAAGCATGTATAAAGCAAATTCAAGCCCACCTGTGACAAAGAAGCTGTCACAGGTCGGCTCTATAGATTGGGAAATCAGCGAACAGATACCACCGATCGCTGACTTCCTGATCCTCTCCCTGCAGAGAGCAGTGACCGTCTCTGCATGGATTCCCCCTCCACCCTCTCAGCATATAGAGGGCAATAACCAGCTATATACTGAGTTTTGGGTCACTGGAGGACACAGTACTCCCTGAGGTTGCCCCATAATTCTCCTTTAAAGAGGAGGATGTGGGAAGTAATGTTGACGATAATTGACCCTGTCTGTACTGTGCTGGCAGATTGCATTACCAATTGTAAATTAGATTTCAATACTGTCTGTCTTAACTAAGATTTTAAGATCTAAAAGCATTGAGGGAAATTAACAAACCCTGGAGCAGCTGTGCATGACAACGAATCAACTTTGAGCTTTCATTTTCAAAGCTCAACCGAACACGCTAAAGATAGAAGCTGATTGGTTACTGTGCACAGCTGTTCTATATTCTGTCTACTCCAGTTTTAGTAAATACCCCCTATTGTAAGTTAATAAGAGGAAGCTCAGTCTGTTTCTCTACAATCACTATCAAACTGCTCAGAGTAGCCTGCAATCGGCACAAAGGCCTTCATCAAAGAAATACTCAAATGTAAGAAACTTATTTTTAAATATTACTTTTAATGTGAGTGGGAACACACAAACTTATAGTGGGGTCTTCTCAAATATGACTGCCAAAGAGGATACATGGAAATGTCACTGTTAGGTTACTGAGAAATAGACGAACCTACCCATTATGTTTCTGATTTGTAAAACTTCACATGATAAAAATATTTAGTCAGCAAGCGCTGCCAACTAAAAGTGCTAGTTGCTTGGCTGCCATTCTAATCCTTGAGCGCCATTACTTTCTGAGTCAGCGACTTGGAACAACTATGCAGGTCAATAGTTCTGCCTTTTATGTGCTGCCTGCTTTTTCTGGGCCAGTAAAAGTGTGAAAGCTAGAGGATCAGCATGATGATCTGGAAACTAATATTCCCTGAAGGAGTTCACCAATGGCAGTCCACATTTTATTTTGAGTGATCTATGCATTTGGCTTCTAATAAGAAAACTGTGAACAAATGTTTCTTCATTTATTGTCTGGTAATCAAATTAGGTATCTAGTTAGTCATTTAGGCAACAAGTCCACTTATATTCCTGTATATGCTTAAATATTAGGGTAATACAAAGGGATGTATGTCTAGTAAATACAGAGGAACAGCCATGCATCTCAAATATAAATATGCAATTAAAATCTCGGGCACTCTAAATTTAAATTTGGCATTCATCTTGTATGGCTGATGCCCATGTAGTGAAATCCCAATTGTTGCACATCTCCTTTTGTTCTGAATGACCTTGCATCTGAGCCCGCATAAGTATAGTCAAATGCCCTCCTTAATTTGTGTACCACCATGTCTCTGAGCTTACTGCTTAGCACAGTGGATCATAAGAGGCGTTGTATGTTACAAAATCACAACCAGCGTCTACTTTCCATACAGAAGCCCATATGAGGGCAGTTCCAGACCCTGGTTATGTTGTGTTTCATAATACTCTCTTTAATCCAGATTGAAGTAAACCAGTGGTCAGAGCATGTTATGTAAAGTAACACCTCAACTGGACAGCAGGCATGAATGCAGCACCTTGAAAATCTTATGATAATAATGACTTTCTGAAGCCTGGCATGCCTCAAGCCTAGTGATAGGGTCAGTCAGGTAATCAGGGTGTTGTATTTAGTGATTATGTACACCTCATGCCTGAAGATTCAGGATTTCCAGGGATACAGCAGTGATGGAGAGGGATGTGCTGTTAATATACACAGCTGGCATTTTATGTTGCCTGCCATGCTTCATTTGATCTGATTACATGTTTCCTATCAGTGGAATTCCTAGCCTTGGCACAGTGCAATAGTTTCTGGCTAGCTTGCTTCCTGGAGTTACTCTTTAGATAAATTCAAACACACTAATACACATAAGTAATGTATTTATGTTGACATTTTTTGCTTTTTGTTAAGCAGAAAGAAACCGCATTTTGTTCTTACTTTTTAAGGTGATGGTCTTTTTCCAAGAATGCCCATGGTGAATGGCTTGTTGCCAAGCAATCCTCACTTACCACACAATCCTCTCGGCCCAGGACATGGACTTGGTCCTTTCTCTCCCTTAACACAACCACCATTTCCAAACAGGTACTCTGGTTACTAACTTCTTTTCTTTGTCATTATTCTGGAAAGATGCAGTAAAGTGTAGAAGATTGTGTTTCTCTTTCCTGTTGTATTATTAAAATATATCCTCATTTGGGCAAGGCTGTCACTCTTGTTTTCCTGTATGAATGGGTTTTTTATTGGTGTTGTCTCCATCTACACAAGACTGTGAAAGATATTGGCACCATATAAATCAATAATAGTAGAAACTTTTTATATGTAAACAGGGATAAGAACGCGGTATACCATGGCATGGTGAACGACCCCACAAATGTTTGGCCAGCTCAGGCTCCGGTTATGGAGCCAGAAGGAGACACCATGTCCAGTGCCCAAAGGAGTACACAGAAATGGGAGAAGGAAGAAGCCCTTGGAGAAATGGCGACGGTGGCCCCTGTTTTATACACCAATGTTAATTTCCCACACCTGAAGGAGGAGTTTCCTGGTGAGATAGCCAGAAAAGAGCATTTTCATAAGTCTGTTGATTGAAAGAGCTTGAAGGATGAGCTGTCTTTTATATTCCTTTTTTTTTTTTTTCCTGTGATCACAAGGCTGCCTATTTGTTGTTACATGTAGTAAGTCTTTACCCACGACTAATTATGACTCATTTTACTCTGTCTAGATTGGTCTACACGAGTGAAGCAAATTGCAAAACTCTGGAGAAAAGCCAGCTCGCAAGAAAGAGCCCCCTATGTGGTAAGTGGGTCTAAAACTCAATATACATTTATTGTGGTTGGCATTAAAGGACAAAGTAACTGACAGTAGAGAAATCTGCGCAATAATACTGCATTTATACAAAACACTAAAAGTAGATTTGCAGTGTACAGTGACTGGTACGTAGACCTTTTGTGACTTGCCCTGAGGAAGGACCCTGTGTGGCCCCAAAACGTTGGCTTATCATAACTAATGTGACAATGTTATAAAAGATCGAACCAAGATTTGCATTCTAACTTCGTGTGTGCTAGTGATTCACTTTCCATCACTTTGAGGTTCTACACCGCGCCATCCGTAGTTGTCACTACAAGCACCACCATATATCCAGAAGGGCTCAGCACTGTATGGAGTGCAGGCGATCCTATTATCACAAAGTGTTCTAACCTAATCTCCTCCACTCCTTCTCTGTTTTGTGTGAAACAGTATAAACATGACATTAGGCTGTAAACATCCAATCGCCAGGCCGTTGTGTAACCCTTTGTAAGTTTTTTAATTCTTAGAAAGCTAAACTTGCAGTTCCTGGGGTCTCTAGTAGTGTATCGTGGTGGCAGCGAAGCACTTGGTAGCTAGATATAGGATGTATTTTATGTCTATTGTAAGCAAACTAGAGATTTACATTAATTGTAGGCATAATGTCTTGTATGACAAAATGCAAGGTGCCTTTTATCCAAGCAGAGTAGATCACAGAATACAGAGGTGGAGGGTAATGTGCCCTATTTTATGCTCCAAGAAATGGATTTTACTGGCAAGTCAAAAATCCTGTTTTCTTAATTGTTCATCCCAGGGTGTTCAGTTCTTTAACCCCTGGAACATTCAAAATCAGTCCCAGATTCTGTGATTTAAGGCAGGCTGGGAGTGGTGGGTGTTATGTGATTTGCCACTGTCCAGTCACCTGATGTTATCTGCATAACCCAGAGTTTAAATCATTTATCTCCCTGTGTTCTGTGATGTACTCCAAGAATTACATTTTACAGGTAAAAAACATCCTCATCTTAGGTCATCTCATCACCTTAAGGTTTAGGTGAAGGGTCAAAGGTTGAGGTTGGGTTAGAAGCAGCTGAATCTACAGTTTTATTTTACTGTTACTGCTGTAAAAAGACAGCATTCAGGAGACCTTAGATCAGAATAATCTGAAGCTGTATTTTACTTTTTTGACCTTAAACTTAACACTTAAGATTTAAATTGCATTAACCATAATGATACTCCTTATTTGAAGCAAAAAGCCAGGGATAACCGTGCCGCACTGCGAATCAACAAAGTGCAAATGTCAAATGACTCGATAAAGCGACAGCAGCATGAGATCATTGACGAAAGCGCCCGGATCGATTCTGATCCATTTAAAGATCCCTTGAAGCAGAGAGAGTCTGAGCATGAACAAGAGTGGAAGTTCAGACAGGTACACACTTTCTTTTACAATATTTGTATGAAAGTGGTGGTGAACAAGTTTGATTGGATCATTTTCATGTACTGTTTTTTTTTTTTTGGTCACTTGTAGTGTTTTGTCTTTTTAAGTAATGTGTGTGATATTATGTATAGCACAATGTACATCATGGACACATTCTGATTTTAAAGAAGAGATCTCACAAGTTAAAAAGGCATGTTAAGGCCTCCAGGGCACCCAGTGCACATAGCACTTGTCCCCATTAGAATCAGTGCAGTAGTTTGTCAATAAAATGTCATGTTTATTACTATCAGTGCTTGCTGTAGCTCCACCCCAGGCAGAAGCCCAAATATGGATGCCCCCATGAGGGAGGTGCAGGCAGCACTGGAGCCACCGCTCCCTCTCCATTCTGCAGTCCTCCTTGCTATGCAGCCCATGTTTTTTTGCTCCATTTCTAAAAAATGAGCCAGTAATCTCCCAAAGCCCCTCTCCAATCTGTAGTTCTCATCTGCTACTGTTAGACGATTGAGTCAGCAATTTGCCACAGCCACCAGCTAGTTCTGAGAAGTTGACTGCAGTAGTAGCTGGCAGCTTGTGTTTTGTGAATGACAGCGGATGTGGGGCAGTTCTGTCATTCACAAAAACACAAGCTGACAGCACACACTGGCAGCTACTACATTTGTCCAAGAGACTAGTGTAGTAGCTGCTGACATGTGCGTTGTTGGCTTGTGTATTTGTGAATGACAGCTCTGCTCCCCAGCCGCTATTATCCACATAACACAGACTTTTAGTAGTCCTCTTCTCAAAACTAGTTGGCGGTGCAGGAGGTTGTGGGCACAGTCTTTTATATATGTACTAACAAAGCAGAGAAAGCATGAGCTGCACGGAAAGGAGTGTTTCAGATGTTCTGACTGGGCAGGCTGTGTGCCTCCCCTGTTTCCTCTCTTCTGTGCTCTGTCTGAACTCCTATCTCCTTGCTTCAGCATGGTTGGATATCTGTTGGCAGTTGGAGGGGCTTGCTATCCAACAACACTGGTTGGAAATCACAGCACCAATTTTATTGTGGCTAAATGCTATGTGCACAGTGTCCGCTGGGGGATTTACCAAGTCTTATTGACTTCTGGTGAGACTTTGCCTTTAATTTAAAAACAGTTGTTCAGATCCTAGCATGCTGCCCAAAAAACTACTTTTGGAGTCAAGATTTTTTTTCGCAGTTCTTTGAACCAGGATTTTAGCAAAACATATTTGTACAGTTAGATCATGATCGGTGAGTGTTTGCATACCCGCTCTCCATCCTGAATCGGCTGTCAGGAGGGCGCTGTGCAGTGGGGGAGGAGAGCACAGCCTTCTGTGACAGTTCAGAGCACTCTCCTCCAATCATCACTCTCCATACTGACACAGGAGGTGGAGCCGGGAAGTGTGGGAGGATATCTCCGCCTCCTGTGACGGATCACAGCTGTCACTGCCCCCGGCTGCTCTCCATCCTGACACAGGATGCCGAGCCAGGAAGTGAGGGAGGAGAGCTCGGCCTGCAGCAATGACAGCTGTCACTGCACAGCGCCGCTCTCCATCCTGAAAGCTTCTCTCCTTTCCGCTGGGCACAGGTGCTGCATCGGAAGGCACACAGACTGGTGCCCAGTGGGGAGGAGAGAAGCTGAGATACACTGAATTATCGGCCATCATGGCATTTTCGGCAGATGGCCAAAAGTGCAATTTTCGGACGAAATGTTTCGATGCATACCTACCCATAATCCAATATTTTGTTGCACAACCATTAGAGGCAATCACTGCAAACAAGATATTTCTTGATCGTACAGTACAGGACACTCAGGAGGCAGATATTTAGAAATGGCTAGGTAATATGCAGGATCATCAGGTGACTGGACACTAGCCAGAGCTGTGTTTTTTTTGCTGGTGGCCTTAAGTGATGGATGTCTCCCCTTTACTTAGGGAGACACATTTAGTTAAGTTATCTTTTTCTTTAATCAAGTGTCTTCCTATGGCTGTGTAGGGCAACAACGGCAACCTAGCAGCTTCTGGATTGGTGCCCCCATAGGGACTGTATCTGGACCCCACAGGACTAAGACTGCGGGCACATTCTCCTTTGCCCTCCTGGTTCCTGTTCAGCTTGGTGCACACAATGATACCAAACAACAAAGTGACTTATTTTCTCCATTTAAATAGGCTGATTGGTTACAAAGTTTAAGATATATGCGATACTAATTAAAAAAAAAAAGGTGGCAGCCTAGTGAATAACCAACCCGGAGTGTAGGGAGCCGAACGCCGTTCTGCTATTCACTTCAGCCCTGTACGTACATTGGCTGCCTTCAGCTGCTTTCGCTTCACTTTGGTTCAGCCTGACAGCCTCACCACGTTCGGCTGACTTGAAGTGAAGAACATGTTCTCCTTAGCCGATCAAACATCCGGCCGAACAACAAGGAGTGAATAGCGAATGCTGCCATGTGAGTAGGTAGCGTTCAGAATTTAAAAAAATGTAAACAAAACATTCCTACCAGACCTGAAAGGTCTGTTATGAATCGGCAGGGGGATGCCACGCCATTTGTTATTTTTACTATTTGTTTACATTTGCGGGGAGAAAGGTCTGCAGATCGTTCTAACCGCCTCATCTGTATCTTCGGCTCAGCCGAGCCGAATGCTTATGCTCCGGCTTGACTGAGCTCTTCTGCTAAATCAAAGGGTTCCCACGGGCGAAGTGAGCCGAAGGTTTAGCCAAACCTACAGCTGTATCCTTTGGCTCTTTAGTGAATAACCCCCATAGTTTGAAATATCACTATAAGCCAATGATTTATCATCTTTTACAGGGGTACCAACAATGTCCAGGCCATTTTAGAATTTCTTTGTAGAATAAGCAATAATTTATCTTTTCACTCTTTCTTTGCTGTACTCTGACATGCTAAAGGAATGCAGGTACACATGGGACTATTGCTTTCAATTTTACCTGTTTTGGGGAGGAATATTGCAAGGTTTTAATGAACTGCATCATCTGTTTATCTTCTGTTTTGTTGAACTTGTTCTTTGGGTGGTTCAGAACCTTCCAAACCAGAGGTATACTGGGTATACTGCATCCAGAAATGCCACTGCAGAGCCCCAGTGGCATGCCAAATTATCTGTTGAGGTAGTAGAAAGCTCTGGATGCAGAGTGCTCTCTGGGATTCGGAGTGCCCAGACTGTACACTCACACAACTGAAGGTACAGAAGCCTCCATATCCGTGCAGGGATGAGTTTCATTTTGAAAAATCCAGGGTATTTCATTCTAACAGTACTGCTGTCATCATTACAAATGTGTCCTCGACTGTCTGTGTCAGCAGGCAAAATATATATGCGTCAGCTGAGGTAGCCAGTCGAAATGTAAGACGTTTTTTTCAACAGATTAAAAAAAAAAAAAACCTCTACCCAAGTTTAAAAAAATTAAATTTAGTGTTTTAAAATGTGTAGAACCACACTCTGATTTCTCTTTCTAATATTGCAGCAAATGCGCCAGAAAAGCAAACAGCAGGCGAAGATAGAAGCAACCCAGAAACTTGAGCAAGTAAAAAATGAGCAGCAACAGCAGCAGTTTGGGTCCCACCATCATTTGAGTCAGTCAGGAAGTGATACCCCAAACAGTGGCAATCAGAGTCCTTTAACACCTCAACCGAACAGTGACAACATGTCCCCAAATCAGCAGAACTTTATTAAAGACCCATTTACTAAACAGACATTGCCCGGAGCACCTACATCATTCTCAGATGATGTTTTTCTTAAACCACAAGCTCCACCTCCAACTCCCACTAGAATACCTTTACAGGATCCCATCCAGCTTTCTCAACCACATTCACCACAGATGTTTTCTCCTGGATCTTCCAACTCTAGACCATCATCTCCCTTTGATCCCTATGCTAAAATGGTAGGAACACCAAGACCTCCACCTACCAGTCAGAATTTTCACAGAAGGAACTGTGGGTCACCCATGGATATTTGTCCTCCTAGACATATACCTGGGAGTGAGTCCTTTGATACTAGACCATCCCCCATAAGAGACTCTTGTTCATCTCCTTCCGGCACTGATCCCTCATTAAAGATGGGAGATATTCAGAAGAATATGGGCCCAGCTGATCCTTTTTCTAAACCATTAGGACTGTCAAGATTGTCTCATAACACTGATCAGATGATAGATGGTTCTCTGGGTCCAGTAAACAATGATTCTTTTACAAAGCATTCTTCCAGATCTGAAATATATCAAAGATCGCAAATGCCACAAAAAGTGGATCCATATTCAAGGCCTCCCCTCACTCCTACATCAGGTGTTTCACCTGGCAGCCCTGCGCCTTTTAAAACTCCTTTGCGCCCACCTCAGTCACCACAAGAGTCTTACAATTTATTACCCACAACACCTCGACGTATCTCTTCAGACCCATATGAAAGACATGTTTTGACTCCAAGACCTGCTGAAACTTTTTCACATGACCTTTATAACCAAGCACCTCATGGAAATCGTACTATGAATGAACCATTTGCACATCCCCCTAGACTGATGCGACAGCATAGTGATCCTCAGTCCGCCTCTTTGTCTCGCTCAAATGCCCAGGATCCATATGCTCAGCCTCCAGGAACTCCACGTCCAACAAATAACCCATATTTAAAATCACCAACTGCTTCAAGATCTACAGCAATAGACCCTTATCTTCAACAGCCTTCTACCCCAAGACCACCTGTGCAAACAATGGATCCTTATAATCAGCCTCAATCAACTCCTAGGCCAGTAATGGGAGATGTATTTGTTCAGCCATCTATGAATAAGAGGCATCATGATTCCTTTGCAGCCTCACCTGCAAGGAATAGCATGGACCCATACTCTCAGCCACCTGGAACACCAAGACCAGCACCTTCAGATCCCTATGCCCTACCACCTGGAACACCAAGGCCTGTGCCTTCAGATCCCTATGCCCAACCACCTGGAACACCAAGGCCTGTGCCTTCAGATCCCTATACCCAACCACCTGGTACACCAAGGCCTGTGCCTTCAGATCCCTATGCCCAACCACCTAGTACACCAAGGCCTGTTCCTTCAGATCCTTATTCTCAGCCTCCTGCAACCCCAAGGCCAGTTCCCTTAGAAGTGTATGCTCATCCACCTGGGACTCCGAGGCCCGTACCTTCCGATCCCTATGCTCAGCCACCTTCAACTCCAAGGCCAGTTACTTCAGATCCTTACGCTCAGCCTCCTGGAACTCCAAGGCCACTTCCTTTAGATCCATACTCGCAACCACCTGCAACTCCCCGGCCAGCTCCTTCAGATCCATATGCACATCAACCAGCAACTCCTAGGCCAGCCCCTTCAGATCTTTACTCTCAGCCACCTGCAACACCAAGACCAATGCCTTTAGACCCTTATTCTCAACCTCCTTGTACTCCACAATCAGTACTTGCAGACCCTTATTCCCAGTCCCCTGCTACACCAAGGCCTCTTCCCACAGACTCTTACTCGCAACTTAATCGAACTCCTAGGCATGTACTTTCTGACCTTTATGCTCAGCCACCAAGAACTCCAATGCCCAGTGGTCCAGAAAGCTTTAATCGTTCCTCAGTGGTTCGCCCAGTGTTGATACAAAACCAAGAGTCATTTCTGCAGAATATGCAAAGCAGGGGAGCCCATTTTATCAGAACATCTGAAGGAAGCTCCCAAAATCAACGACTAGCAGGCCAAGGTTCAGCAGACCTGTTTAATCACTCCTCATCTGGCCTTAACCAGGAACCTTATGATCATCCTCCATTGGCACCTCATATACAGACGGGTGAAGGATTTGGCCAATCCCATGATATTGGAGATCAGCAAAGAACTTTTTCAGAGGAAACATTTAGTGGGTCTTCTAATATTGGAGCAAGCCCTCAAGGTCAGCAGTTTGGCAATATGCCACAAATGTCTGGCTTACCAGATGCTCAGAATTCATTATTACCTATGGCAGAATCTGAAGAGAAAGCAAGACAGGTACATTCTTTCTTCAATTTCTAATCTTTGAGGTTTTCAGCGGTCATGTTTTTGATGGTTAAATCCTAACCTTTATTGAAAATTATCTAAAGTATAAGTTGCTTGGGTAATGTCAGCTGGGTATTAAACATGATGATAGCCCATTCTAGAGCAATATTACTTAGGTTTGCAGTCATTTATTGATGTGATAAATTTTAAAAAAATTAAATGTTAATCTTTGTACATTTATATTCGTAGTTGTAGATTGCAGGCAGCTATTGCTTCAGTCTTCCAAAAATGATTTTTTAAAAATCATTTATTAAGGGACACAGTACTCATGACACAGGAGTTATTTTAGTACAATTGGGTTATAATGCCATGTACAGGAGGAATTGGATACTGGCAAACTAGTATAACCCCTCCCACTCAGCATGCGTCATTTTTTTGGCTAGTGTCCAAAGAGGATGTGTATCTTATCCCTGAGAAACGATTAGCCTTTTTTTTTACTATCCATCTTTGTTGCCTCAAGATATTCTTTCTTCAATCAGGACCTTCTGTACATGCTGCTGAGCTGAGCTCTTTATGCAGCTATCCATATGAGCCAACTCTCCGCAATACCTTGGAGGCCATACCCAGACCCCAGAACAATTTACATGCCCAGATTCTTGGAACAGCCTCTGGTGTGACCCTGTCTTTGAAAACTCTTATGAGTATGCTATATGGGCTGAGTATCGGGGGCTAATATGTTATTTGATAACGTTTGAAAATTAAATGCTGTGTCATTAGCTTGAGTGTTGCCTTTGGCTTGTACTAGTGCTGTTACCAGTCTGGGATCCCCAAGACTACCAAAGCTTTTCCAGTTTACTTCAACTTGTTCTGCACTACTCCTGACAAATTGTTTACTCCTCCCAGATGTTTTTAAGACCAATATCCATTTTATTGAGGATTTTATGAAGAAGTGAGCTGTTCCTGGTGTGGATCCAGCAGTATCCCTCCTTAATAAAACACTGACTGTACCTATTGAGGATGCCCCAGCACTTAAAGCTTTTGCCTTCAGCCCTACATTATTGCGTTGATTAGTTATTATCTATCTTATCTACTGAATTACTCTATTGTCTGTGAGCCTAAGGAGATGTCTTTGGCTGAAATTTTGGTCTACAGAACACCAGCAGAGAAGTCTGAGCTGCAAACTGGCAAATATTCTCTTGCCCCTGAAGCCAGAAAGAGTTCCTTTCATTTCTCTGGAGCTTCTCATTTTAAAGCCAAAACTAAAAGGGAGGGGCCCAGTAAAACCACAGACCCTGGGCCTCAAATTCCTCCGAGTCTGCAGACATTTCCCCGTCGGCTATAAAGGCAACCCCACTTTCCAAACTGGGGGGCGTCTATTGGTGGATCCTGGATCAGAAATCGTCTTTGTAAGCAACGCGGCATCCAGGAGCTACAGGGTGGCGTTTCGCTATCTGCCTCCTTCACCACCAATTATATCCAACCTACCTTAGTCTCTACACAGACTAGCAGCCCTCCATGCTGCTCTTGCAGATGTTTTGAAACAAGGAGTTATTGCCATTGTGTCAATTGCAGAAAGATTTTAGGTGTTTTACTCCAACTTTTTCACTGTTCCAAAACCAAAAGAAGGCATATGCCCTATCTTGGATATGAAGGCTTTAAATGTTTTCATTCGAGCCCAAAAGTTCCACTTTGAATCCACCAAGTCTGTCATACCCTGCCTTCACCAGGGAGACTTTCTAGCTTCTGTGGACATCAAGAATGTGCATTTGCATCACCTCATCTTTCCAGTGCATCAACACTCTGTTTTGCTTTGGACACTGAATACTATCAGTTTGTAGCTGTACCTTTTGGTCTATCATCTGCACCCCAAATGTTCTCCAAGGTTCTGGACCCGGTGCTAGCCTTACTATGCTCCCAAGGTATTCCCATTGCGGGATACCTAGACGAACCCGTATTGACACAACAGTTACAATTCTGACTGACAATGTAATGCAGACAGTCCAGACTTTAAAAGTTTGGCTGGATCTTGAACCTTGACGACTCAAGACTGGAAGTGGCACTTTACTTGGGAGTATCTGGGTCTCATCCTAGACACAGGTCAAGAGAGTGTTTTACTTTCCCAAAAAAAACTATTTACTCTCCGCTCCAAGACTCTGGCTTTTACAGTCAAAGAGCCATCCAGCTGTACATTTTTTCATTACATTTTTGGACCTGAAGGAAGACTACATATTCAACAACAATCTGGGCAGGTTTGTCTCCAGATACAGAGAGCCTTTGGCCAAAGCCGTGGATGTTATGGTGACTCAGTGGGATCAGTACAGCCTGAAGATCTATGCTTTTCCTCCTCTGGAAACACCTTTCTCATCAACTCTGCGTAACGAGATGGAGGACATATTGGTGATCCTTATAGCACCAAACTGGCCCAGGCAGACGTGGTACTCTGACCTGATCAAACTTCTGACAAACACCTCATGGTCTCTTTTGAGATTGAGCAGATTTCCTATCTCAAGGACCAGTTTGCTTTAGGGTTACTTGCTTGGCTGTTGAAACCTAGCTCTGGAAAGATAGGAGGTCTCTCTAAATCAGTAATTTCAATAGTGCTAAAAGCTAGCTACCTCTCCCAAATCTTGCAAATTAAAGATTTACTTCACTTGGTGCAAGGAAAGAAGAATCTTCACCTTTGTGCATTCAGGCCTGGATTAGCATTTGGCTCCGAGTACCATCTTTCGACTGATTTCCTTTGCCTCCCATTTGTTGGTTAATACTTTTTTACACGGTGTTTATCATGTAGCTCCTCCTTTACAACCACCTGGAACCCTGGGGCATTTGAATTCCATTCTATCGTCTTTTCAACTTGACGTTTTTCTTCCATCTCTATGTCCAGCTCCAGTACATCAGAAGGCCATTTCCCTTCACTGCCTGGATGTAGTTCCTGCTGTACTGGTGTACCACTCAGTCACTGCTTCCATTAGAAAAATTGACTCTCTTGTATTGTTTGATGGTCACCGTAAAGGAGAACCTGCTTCTTGCTTTCCTGTCAATGCACACACTACTAGATATTCAAGTGCTTCAGGGGCTTTTAGGCATCAGGCAACTGTTTCTGATTTGCAACGCTGCCACCTGGTCTTCTGTTCATATGTTTTCCAAGTTTTACCACGTAAATGGTTCAAGCTGCAGGCAGCCCGTAATTTCATTTTCATTGTTATGTGGGCCTGTTGCCATTTTGTGTGCTGTTACCCACCCCTCAGTTGGACTGTTTTTGTAGTTAAAGAATATGTGTTCCATAATGAACGATGAACAAAACAGTTTTTTTTTGTGTTTTTTTATACTTAATGTAAAATCTGTTTCTTGAAGTTCATTAAGGGACTTCGGTCCCATACTGTTGTGTTATCTACTCCTAAATGCATCTAATCTACAAAACTGAAGCATGCTGGGAGTGGGAAGGGGTTATACCTGGCTGGCCAAGAGCTTTTTTGTTTGCCGGTTTCCAATTCCTCCTGTAGGCAGCAGAATAATCCAGTCATATCCAGGGGTGTGGAATTCCAAACGCCCGATGCCCAGGACATGCAGTTCCATGCGCTGGGAAGCAGGGTTCTATGTAGAGCGGGGAAGCTGTTTTGCACAAGTGATTTGAGCGGCTGTACAGATCACTTGTAATCGGCCTGCTTGTCCGCCCCCCCTGCTTGCTAGCCCCTGTGTGATAGCAATGAAATTAAGTGGGAAAAAAAGCTAAAAAGAAGTAAAAAAATACAATTAAAATTGATCAAAGTAATAAAATAAAATTGTAAAAAAAATGATAACATTTAAAACCAACCCCGCTGCCCCCACCATCTGCATGCGATCAAATGCATGCATAGGGCATTGTGCAAGTGCTGCCTCCATTCCATTGTGTGTCATGTTGTGGTAGCCGGGCAGCAACACTCTCTAACATGCACAATGTACATTAAAGGGTAAGTTCACTTTCCCAATTAATTTGGGAAAATTGAATTACCCGCTCAAATCTGCTGGGCTCCCCCTCCCCCGTGCTATACTTGTCTTGAAGGGTGTACTATCAGTACCCCATACTGTAATTCAGCACAGCCCTGCACTATGGATTTTGAATTTTGCTCACAAATTGCAAGCACTCGTTGATCAATGCAGTCACCTCACAGTGCTGACCAATGAGAAGCTCTTCTTAGCATGGTTAAAATAATTTTTTGAATCAGGACAAGTAGATTGGGGTGACAAGATCATGAGGTACAAGTAGATTGGGCCCCCGCTGTAGTTTAGTTAGTTTTTTGTAAACAAATCCACACCCCTGAAGAACTGAGCCTTGTGTGTCCCTTAATTAACTTTATGAAATGGATTTTACTGCAATTACAAAAATCCTGGTCTTTTTGTTATTTTTCGTGTTTTAGATGACTTATTGATGAACCATGTTGTTAACAAAAAAAAAAAAAACTTTGAGCATGGTTATGGGATGAATTGTGTGTAGTCTTTTTAAAATAATGATTTATGTTAGATAATACTCTAAAATCTTTTACAGCGTCAAAAACTGAGGGAGATGATACTAAGACAGCAGCAAACCAAGATTGCTGTTCGACATGAAAAGATGTTGGATTCATTGCAAATTGCTCAGGCTGCACACCCCACCCAGTGGCAGCAAGATAGTCCACATCGGCCACATGAGGTCTTCAACAGACCTCCACCTCCTTATCCTGGAAATATAAGAGCCTCAATTGGTCCTAAAGGAAACCCACAATTTTCTACTTTCCCCAAAGATCAACATACTCCATTCCCTGGCAATGCCCAGTTTAACAGGCCGCCATTCACTGGAGACATGAGTGTTGCTATAAGACCACCTCCTGGTCACAGGTACACATATATTATATTCAATATTTTTAAGATGAGAAGACAATATCTATTTAACAATCCCCTGTAGGGGAATCCATCCTGGTATTTTCAGAATTGATGAACAGCAAGGCCTGCCTTCATAGTCAACCAGTGATCCAAAAAATGTTGATTAATTTTCTATTTAATGTAATAAATACTTTGTGTAAAGTGGTACCTACAACTTGCCAATGTTCCCTACCAATAAAGTCCAAAACCATTTTGCACATTGTGTTCTCCGGTTTAAATTTACATTGCTCAAGATAGGGGACTATAAAGCTCAGACTGCATATATGTAAATGTTTATGATTTTAGGAGAGGAGTTGTCACTGGCAGCTGACATGAATGCTGTAAATAGCACAGCTCTGGAACCTGCATAATAATGAAAACCTTATTTATATACTTGTGCACCTCCTCCTGTTCAAAGGGGAGAATGTGTGTGGTTTATGACATGTTTGGCAAAGTATTTTAATTAGTGTGGAGGGAAGAGAGCAAGTCGGAAAAAAATTGTTTTGTACATTTTTGTTAAATGTAAATATCTGCTTTGTTTTACAGATATGTCTATCCCATGTCTGGGCCTGGCCCTGTCTCTGGTCATGAGCGCTTTATGGGTCCTCCTCTACAAATGCAAGTTCCAGGGATGCCTCAGCAGATGAGAAGAGATATGTCAATGGAGCTTCCTCGGTCTTTAAACGGCACACAAATGAATAATCCTGCTGGTCTTGCTCCACATTTTCCTTCACAGGCAATGCCTGTTCAGCAGCATAATATATCAGGGCAAGCATACATTGAACTCCGCCATAGGCCTCCAGATAGCAGGCCACGAATTCTTTTAGGGCCACCTTCTGGTATGATGGACCCATCAGCACAACATCAGAGACATATAAGTTATTTCCCTAAGCCAGAATTTCAAGGCCCAAGGTTTATGGAACAAGTACGAATTCAACATCCAGGTTTATCTAATCAAGTTCAAGTTCCTCCAGGCTATGAACACTTGATTCCTACTGGGCAACAACCACTTATGATGCATAGAGTCGATCAAACTCAAATCGGTGAGAATTACTTACGAACACAGCTGTCTGACGGAACCATGGGGAAAGAATCGACAATTCTTCCACCTGAAAATTCGGAACCCAGTGGTTTGGAGGAAAAGCTGGATCCTGATGATCCTTCTGAAAAAGATCTTGATGTGAAAGATTTAGATGGGGTTGAAGTCAAAGATTTAGATGATGAAGATCTTGAAAACATAAACCTAGACCCAGATGATGCAAAAGGAGATGACCTTGATGGGCTGGATAATCTAGAAACAAATGATCCCCAGCTTGATGATCTTTTAAGATCTGGAAAATTTGATATAATTGCTTACACTGATCCAGAGCTTGATCTTGGAGATAAGAAAGATATGTTTAATGAGGATCTGGATCTCGGTGTACCAATTGATGATAAATTGGAACTCCAGTGCAAGCCTGAAGAGGAAAAAAGTAGTGAAGACTCTGGTAAAAATTCTTCTCCTGGACCTGCTTTGTCAGAGACTATTACAGCTGTTGCCATCAAAACAAAACCGGAATTGGATTCACCAAAAGACAAGGCATTGGATGTTAAGTCTGAACCAACAGTAGCCTCTACTACACCTGAGCAACCAAAGGAAGATGGCTCATCTGCACCATCAACTACTAGTGACCAGTCAGAAATAAATGAAAAGGACAATGTGTTTAAATCGGAACAATCAAGTGAGCCACTGCAGCTGCCTGCTTTAGATGCTGGAAGTGCTTGTGGCATGCCAGAATCTGTTCCAATGCTTACCAACTTATTAACGAGTGAGAGTTCAGAGGTGGATAAATTAGGCTCCCCAGGGATCATGACCGTATCGCAGCCTGATCAAGTGCCAGTTATCCCTCACAGTTTAATAACTTCTCCTAATCAAGTGATAGAGCCAGCTTTAAATCAAAATATGGGACCAATACCTCATCCTAGCTTTGATCAGGAGTCCCCTTCAAATTCAGTATTTATGCCGGGCCAGCAAAGTGGCCATAATTTTGTTCCAGGAGACCCATTAAATCAAGGGTTGCCTTGTCCTTCTGGTATGCAAACTGCTCAACAACTGATGCTTCAACAGAGTCGGGAGAGACCTCTTCTTCTGGAAGAACAGCCTCTCTTATTGCAGGACCTTCTTGATCAAGAAAGACAAGAACAGCAACAGCAGAGGCAGATGCAAGCTATGATTCGCCAGCGGTCAGAGCCTTTTTTCCCTAACGTTGGTATGCTTGCATTAGTAATCTATTATTTGTGCACATTTTGTGTTTTTATATCTTTTCTATAGTTGTATAAACTAGCGGGCACTCCCGACCATCCCAAAGATAAATCTTGTGATTGATTTAGTGAGTCTGGGGTGCCCGCCAGTGATGGCACCACCAGAAACAATTGGAAGAAGAGGGCAACACACTACATATTTTACTTAAACGATGTAAAGACATCCAATTTGTACATTTTCAGTCTGTCACAAGTACTGTAAGCCTTTGCCGACGGGTTTGCAGCTTGTAGGTTATTCACTGACACTTTTCCTACAGTTCATTGACCTGCATACAGTAAATACCGGAGAGCATTCAGAAAAATGCTGCATTCAAAGCTGTTGATAATGTGTCTTTGAATCTTCAATCTGTTCATTCATTTAGCTTGTGCCTGTTGTGTCACGGTGTCACCGATCATGGACCAGTATTGCCATTGTCTTTAATTCTCTGGTCACATAGAAATGAATAAAGCTGCAAACAAAATATTATTAGGTATTTATAAAAAAAAAATCTCAGTTTATGGACTGTTTTTATTGTCCATAGAAACAGGCCAGATCAAACAGGTCAAACTCCCATTACATTTTTTATATGCAGATTTAAAAATAATCCCTGTTTTGTAACAGACAGCCCCCACTTCCAGCAAAAATGTATTTTGATTTGCATAGAACAAGAAAGGATCAGAGCCTCTGTCAGGTTTGTATTGCTGTTTGGGCAGACTTCCCCTTCCTTTTTAGGACAGAAATTGACAAGAAATCTTCATAAGGGTTTGTTCACACCATCTGTAGACCCAATCTGGATGCCTTTCTGCAAATGCATGTATATGGGGTTTTGGTGCGTTTTTTTGTTCTCAATTGGTTTTAAACGCACTCCGGTGCGTTCTGCATTTTCCTGCGGTTTTGGTGCATTCCAGAGAAAAAAAGGAGCATGCTGGATCTTTTTTAAAAGTTCTGGAACTGAAAGTAATGGTGTGAACTAGCCACATTTTTACCATAGGAGTGAATGGGTATGCGTTTTTTGGTCTAGTCTGCATCCGGTCTGGAGATGGTGTGAACAAGCTCTCAAGGAGATGCTGACAAAAAAACTGTTTTCTTAGTAGAGCAAAGAACATTAAGAACAGCCGGCAGTGTTTTTTATTGCTATATCATGTTAACATCAACTCGCCCCATTCTTAATACCTGTGTCACAGGAACAGGAAGCAAGGGAAAATCCCCCCAAAAGGGGCAAAGAGAGAAATAACAAATTTAGAGAAACTTTTCCACTCCAAAACTAAAATAGCTGTGCCTTGTTCTCCAAGACTTCCCCCTTGTCGTATCTAGGTCATTATTTCTCTTTATCAAACTGCTAATGGGCTGCCACACAACACTTTTTGTGCAATGGAGGATTTGTGCCATGGTCCAAATACAGGCCAGTGCAATGCCAAGATTTTACTGTGGTTGACTGGTGCACCATTGCTCCACTTTTAGCTACTTTGTTTTTAGCTCCATTAAACTGAATTTTGGTCAGCTTGTGATTTCTGATTGAACCAAGTGTGCCCAGAATTACAGGAAACCAAATTGCAGGATTTGTTACTTAGTAAATTGCGAGGTTATTCAAAGGTCTGAATAGTATGCAAGTTTTCACACTAGTCACTCTACACTTTGCATACATACAAACGCACATATATGTATGTGTACATGCTAACAATGTAAAAAAGGCATTCTATGCATTTTGTCTGTTGTGATGTGCTATAGGGTGCGATTAAAGAGCATGCTGTAGTATGATCAAGAGTTGAGTTGAATCAAACGAAGTTTAGCAAGGCCCCAGCCCCATGAGACCCACTGAAGAATTCCAGGACACTGCATGTCCTGAAAATATCTTGTAACAGAACTAATGGCCAGTAGGATGTTTTGATTACATATGTAGGCAATTAAAGGCCATTTAATAATTGAGTTATTTGTAAATTGTAAAGTGTGCAGTAGTCTGTGTATGGACTTTGCTACATGGGTGATGTTGTCATGCTGTAATGGAATGTCAGCCTTGTACACTGCAGTTGATTTTTAGAACAAATGTAGCTGACTATACATCTGGCAAGGACCTGCAGCTGCCACCAACACTTATGTAATTGTAAAGTGAATTTGGACTGCCTATTTGTGTTGAAATGCTTACGTGCCAATTAGTCAATTTATTATTATAAGTGCTCATTTTATTGATCACTTATATATGAATTACGTATATTTATTATAATTACTTGTGCATGAATACTTGTAAGTACAATACACTGATGTTTTTTATGTTAATTTCAGATTTTGATGCTATTACCGATCCTATAATGAAAGCAAAAATGGTGGCTCTAAAAGGCATCAATAAAGTGATGGTGAATACTATGGGAATGTCACCAATGGCCATAAACAGGTATGATCACCTGGCAGTTGTGTATGCTAAAATGAGACGCTCATGATTCATCAGTTTTTGTTAGATTTGCATACAAGTCATTAGATTAGCTTTGGCATATGGTGTTTTCTTTAAAGAAACTTTTGTTTGTTTGAATTTTTAAATGTGCTAACACATTTTTTGAAATGATCTTGTCTATCATCTTCATTGCTTTTTACTCTTTATTTTGCAAATTGCCATTTAATACAGTGCTTCCTTTACACTTTATAGAGGGTGCCAGGCTCACTTTTTAATTATCTCTCTATGACCATGCATATGGCTTCATATGAGCAAATGATGGGTAGGCAAAGTGTCTTCCCTCTACATTATTTCACTGCATGTGGTGTGAATAGAGCTGAAAAGCAGGATATTAAATCATAGGCTGGAATGAGAGGAAATCTTGTTGCACTCCTTAGTGGGTATCCCAATGGCTAGGGAGGGTGCTTGCAATGACTGCGGGTGGCACCGCTGTATGCAGTAATCGTTAAGAAGAAAGTCACTAGCACACAAGAATCCTTTCAGGATCAGCGAATGTTCATTTTATTGAACAGTTGTCAAATGAAGAACAAAGCGATTTAGGGACCGCGCAAGGACCCTTCATCAGGCTTAATATCATCATGTTAAACCTGATGAAGGGACCCAGAAAGTGCTTGTTCTTCATTCGACAACTGTTCAATGAAATGAACATTCTGTGATCCTGAAAGGATTCTTTGGTGTGCTAGTGACTTCTTAACAAAATCATAGGCTGGTCACAGCATAGTACCAAAACAATTCAGCAGGGCTGTACAGTGTTGACTCAACTCCATATAAAAAAACAAACATTTTTTTAAGCATTAAACGTTTCTAAATATCACTCTATGTGACCTGTATTTATCTCTATGACCAGTAGCTGGACTGTGATTAACTGACATTTCTTCAGCTCTGAATTTAAGCATGTTCAATGCATACCTGTCTTTTAGGTTTCCCTTCATGGGACAGCAGATGCCAGGGACACAACCGATGGAACCTCCGAACCTTGCTCCACCTCCCATCACGCAGGTGAGTCTTTTCCTTACAAAACCAGCTTTGGTTTGTAAGCAGCATCTTATATATTGAGAAATGTTATACAGTCCTTTATCGGTTTTCTGTTACATGTAGGTGATTGTTATAGCTTTGTTTTCTGTATAGACATTTTTCTCCATAGTATTCCAGTTTTGTTATGGCGTGGTATGTTAACAAAAAATTGCTTTGTTTTTAGGATGGAAGCATAGCAACACAAATGGTTAGACCCAACCCTCCAAATTTCGGTCCAGGATTCGTCAGTGAGTATTTTATTGCTTTTAAAATACATTCGCATATTATCCCACCCATTGACAGCGCGGGTTTCTATTGTGTACTGGAACTGAATTTATGTATGTCACATCTATACCATATCAGTCCTAAACTAGATTAGTCAGTTGCTCAAGTGTCACAAATTCAGTTGGCAGTGTTGTGTGTTCAACCATTGTGCAAGAGGGAAGTGCAGAGAGTATAGATTTTGTTTGCTGCAAATGAAGCTTGGGTTTGCCCTTGCAGAGCAAAACAATCGGTTCATGTAAATGTCCTCTCCTCACTAGCACATGCGCTTTTTTTTTTCTCCAACTCCTTTGGTCCATTTTGGCCTCCTGGAGGAAAATACCCAGTGCTTTCACAGGGCTGTGTTTCTTTTCTCTTGCTGGCAGAACAGATCATGAGGGCATAAAGGTAAGGCAAGTATGTACAACATACTTTCACATTATGGGACACTTGCCTCTCATTGTGTCCCCCTCCCCAGGGGGTGACGGATCCAAGCTCCAGATATTGCTCTCCCCAACAGCAACACTGCTGTTGTACTTATGAAAAAGAGAAATTGCAAGGAGCATCGGACAAATGTTTTTTGGCTAGAAACTTTGCATGTTTCTTTTGTCAAAAAACTTAAGCTCCTTGCAAATTTTCACAACTGGACTTAATTAATTTGTTAATTAACATTTGTTTTCATGAAACTCATTCCTGTTATACACAAAGGGTACCCGGTACCGGGTGTGTGCATTGTCGGGTCTTTTCTGCCCGTGCGTGCCCGCTAGGGGGCGCGCGCGAGCAGAAAAAAATTGCCGTCTGGAGACGGCAACCCGCAGATGCAGCAGTGCCGTCCGTCCGTTTTTCTACTACGGGCGGACGGCAAGAGGTTAAGTAGCACATGTCTATTTTGTATCAGCGCCTGTGTTTCGGTCCAGTGTAATCTGCGAAAATAGTGTTTGCAGCATTTTTGCAGAACACACTGGAGCGGAACGGAGGCACAAATTTGCCACATGTTCTGTTGCGGGTAATGGCACTGCGGGGAGCCTGGCTGAGGTGTCATTGACTTCAATGCACCGCCAAGCCCCCTCCCACCCCTGAACGCAGGGAGCCGGCCGTGTACAGTAAAAGATATTGCGTTCCAGAGGCTAACTGTTTTGTACATTGCAGAAATTGTTTTCATATCTTGTTTTTTATCCCTCAGATGACTCTCAGAAAAAACAGTATGAAGAGTGGCTCCAGGAAACGCAGCAACTCCTTCAAATTCAGCAGAAACTTCTAGAAGAACAGATTGGAGCTCACAGAAAATCTAAAAAGGCCCTTTCAGCCAAGCAAAGAACAGCAAAGAAAGCTGGTCGTGAGTTTCCAGAGGAGGATGCTGAGCAGCTAAAGCATGTTACTGAGCAGCAGAGCATGGTGCAAAAGCAACTGGAACAGGTAAATGTGCTGCCTTACTGAACTTTACTAGTTTGCAAATTAAGCATACTTTCCTGATTTCTTTATGGTGGTGTGAGACATGAGCAATATTTCATTTCCCTCTTTCCCCTCGAGTGCTGAAAGAGTAGCAAAACATGAATGGGAAAATCTTGGTGGCAGTGCACTTGACTTTATTGTGAAATCTGTTTACAATGTCTTTTAGATTTACCAACAACTGTAAGATTGGATATACATTGAATAGATTGTTTAGGTAGGCCCTCACACTACATAGTGGTTGGTATAAATAAAGTAGCTAATAATACCAGATTTAAATGCTCATGGTCCGCTTCAAATTTCTGATCATTTTAGGGTTTTTTCTGTTTAAAGAGATTTTGTTAGGTCTCTAAGCAGATCAAAATGTTCCCTACAGTAGAAGAGCTATTTTACTCACCTCTTCAGCAGCCCTTGTCTCCTACAGTGCACGGCTGGGGACACATGCATCTGATACTCGCAGAAGTATTGAATGCAGAAGAGACTGGTGCATTGCTGGAAGAGAGAGAAGTTAGGAGAGAGGCTGCTGGGGTGGCGAGTAAAGTAACTCTATTTCTATTGCAGGAACCTGGCATTTTAATTTTAGAAATCTGACAGTGTCGCCTTTAACCACTGATGAAACAAATATGAAGGCTTCCACTGCTGATTACCTTCTGAAAATGCCTAATGCTTTCCTGTTTTTTTGATTTGGCCTCAATATTTTAATGCACAAGCCTGGAATTAGTATGTAGAACAGGAAAACCTTAATCTATTTGCTTGTTCTAAGACAATGTCTCAAAGTATTAAAACAAGAGGATCAGCATGACATCCAGGCAACTGGCATATTTAGAAGGCATAGTCAGCAATGGCAACTCCAATGTTTTTGCTCTAAAAGGAAAGGATAAAGTAACAAAAGCCATTACCTCCTAGGCAATCTGCCATTTTTTTTCTAGACTGTGACTTAGCTTTATGTTTGCCTTGCATTAATTTCAAGTTTGTCTACTACTGTTTCTTTTTTCCCTCTAGATACGAAAACAACAGAAAGAACATACAGAACTTATTGAGGAATACAGAAACAAGCAACAACAGTTTTCAGTGGCACCTCTAATGCCTGGTGTTCTACCACAGCAAGCACTCATGACTGGAGCAGCAGCACCACCACCACCACCACCTATTAACCCACCAAACTTTCAAATTCCACAAACACTACACACACCAGGACCAATGATTCCAGGCCAGCCTGCACAGCCAAGAATGCCAGGTTGGCAGCCTCCCCATGCTCCTAGAAACCTTGCACATCCACCAAGGATGCAACGTCCAGTTGGTTCTGAAGTAGCAGGCCCTGCTGCTCCTGCAAATCCCAATGCTCCACCGAGGGTTGAGTTCGATGATAACAATCCCTTCAGTGAAACTTTCCAAGAGAGGGAACGCAAAGAAAGATTGAGAGAACAGCAAGAGCGGCAGAGGATACAACTCATGCAAGAGGTAGATCGTCAGCGAGCATTACAGCAAAGGATGGAGATGGAACAGCAAGGCATAAATGGCCAAGACCTGAATAGCAGATCATTGTCACAGATGCCTTTCTTCGCCTCTGAATTACCAAGCGACTTTATGCCAGTTCCACAATCTCCTCAGCAGCAAGCACAAATGGGACATGCGTTATCCCACCAAAGCACGGGAAACTCTCCTCCTACTGTGCCTTTTATACAGAACTCAGATAAAAGGTCCTTGGGGCTCTCTCCTTATGGACAAGAGCTTCAAACAGGCTTTCCCCAAGCATCTGGTCATCCCTCATTTATGCCAAATGACACATCAGCATCACCTGTTGCTGATAGTGGACGTTCCAGTGGACAAGACAGGCCAGTGAGTGGCACAAGTTTTCAAAGTCCTAGTCAGTCTCTTATACAGTTGTACTCTGAAATCATTCCAGAAGAAAAAGGAAAGAAAAAAAGACCTCGAAAGAAGAAAAAAGAGGAAGATGCTGACTCATTAAAGTCTCCTCCCTCTACACCTCGGTCTGATACTACAGCTCCACTGACTCCAAGTATCTCAGAGGCGTCAACACCAACCGTTAACGTCCCTAATGATATTGGTTATCAAGGAGAACATGTAGCTGACCTAATACGTTCATCTACACCAAATACAGCAAACAACAACTCTGTTGAATTGGACGATCCTCTTGTCACTAAAGATCCGCAAAGTGCATTTGAGGAACCCTGCGTGGAGGAAGCCACTAGTCAAGCAGTCTCAAAAGATGAACATAACAATCGGGAAATAAAACTGGAGAATACAGAAGGAGATAAGTCTCCAGAGCAAGCTGACCCAAAAGTGAAAAATTCATCAGTGGAGCTAAAGACAGAAGAAGCCACATCGCACGATGCACTTTTAATGGAAACCAGCTCTTACACTGCCTCCGCACCCTCAGGAAAACTGGAATCTGGCAATGAATTACTGAAACACTTGCTCAAAAACAAGAAACAGCCTGTCATCTTGCATCGGAAGTCTGAGGAATCTTTACAATCATATGACTGTCCCGTTGATGTAAAGTCTGCTGCAAAGCCAGCAGATGCACTGGTGAGTTTGGTCAGTGTTCTGTAAAACAAGTAGCATTTCTACACAAAATGAATACGTGCTCACTGCTGAAAGTGTTAACCCATAGCCATTTAGAATAGCTACAGTTGCTTATCTCAAGCAGGCAACTTTTAGAAAATATGGACCTAAGATTTGTGTTTCACCGCGTTCTCTGTTTGCAGTGTAATGTTGACAAAATGGTGATTTTGTGCATCAGCAATGCATCATTGTATAACGACAATGTTCACCTTTCATAAAATTTAGGGTGTAGCATGAAACATGGTGCCATTCCAAACCCGCCCCAGCCACCAAATGATCTGAACCACGGGTTGTTTCTTCCCATAGACTTCTTTACATTTTGTAGTTCGGTGTAGCTCAGCCCGCTCCGCTGCTTCATTCACAGATCCATTTTTCAGGGACTTGTAGATCTCAACAGTGTACAGGTGTAGTGACTTCATCCCACTTTTAGTCTCTGACAACGTTCTCCAGCTCCATAACCAAAGGTCAGTACCCAGCTTGGGCTACAGGAGCAGTCTGCAGGGGTCCGTGCATTGTACCCATGATCCACTGACCACAATGGCAATGCTTTGTAGGCACCAATATAAAAAAATAATAAATGAAAGGTAGAATATGCCTTTAATTAGCCATTACACATAAGAAATCACAATCTGAGCCTACTTTTTCAGTGGTCACCTAATGTTTTCTTACATCTTTTGAAAATGAGTGCTTAAAACATTTAAAAAGTCCATAGTTGTTATTAAGTTGTCTCTAGAATCTGAAGACTATATATACTTTTCCATAAAATAATTATCTATATTAATGTTCGGTTAGCTTTTTTTGCAAATGTTTCAAGACTTGATTAACAAATGTTAAAATTAAAGACCAATATAAATAGTGTATTATGAACTTTCTTTCTTCTCTCAGCGGCCCCCAGAAAATAAGGAGCTGTTGAGTTTTAATCTTAATCAGAACCTGCTCTCAAGAACCGATCTTAATATGGATAAGAAGAAACCAAGAAATAAGAGGGTTCAGAGAAGTGCTGAAAAGGCTGCCCCTCGCTCCAAGAAAAGAAAGAAAGAGGAGGAGCAGAAACCCTCTATATTTGCCTCTTCTGAGACTTTTACTCATATAAAACAGGTAAACATACATACTACATTTTCTTTCAAAGTCCTTTCATTGTTCAGCCATTTAACTCTTTTAAAGGAACAATTTAAACCTGAAATTTTGGCATTACGCTTTGCCTATAACTTTCTTTTTAGCATTTGAATGTGCTTTACAGTTGGCTTTTTTGCTCACTATCTGCTTATGGTTGCCCGGTTCCTTATTTACCTAAGCCAAAGAGAAATATGCATTTGTATTAGCCAATATGGCTCTGCTAGCATGCATCATGTTCTAGTTACTGCAGTCGCTTTACAGATTTAGTAGAATTATTATTATACATGATTTATATAGCGCCAACAGTTTGCTCAGCTCTTTACAATATATAAGGAAGACATTACAATCAGAATACAATTCAAGACAAGATGGTAAGGAGGGCCCATGAGGGCTTACAATCTACAAGGGAGGGGGAAGTGATACAGGAGGAGGTAGCTGTGTGGGGATGAATTGTCTGAGAACGTGATGGTTGAGGTGGGATAGGCTTCCCTGAAGAGATGAGTCTTAAAGGATCGCCTAAAGGCAGTCAGAGTGGGAGATAGACGGACAGGTTGGGGTAAAGAGTTCCAGAGGATGGGAGAAACTCTAGTGAAGTCCTGGAGGCGAGCATGGGAGGAGTTGACGAGGGAGCTGAAAATCAGAATTTCTTTGGCAGAGCGGAGGGGACGGTTAGGTTAATACTTTGAGACCAGGTTTGAGATATAAACCTGGAAGCTGAGTTGTGGATGGCTTTGTAAGACGTTGTTAATATTTTGAATTTTATCCTTTGGGCGATTGGAAGCCAGTGCAGGGATTGGCAGAGGGTGGTTGCGGAGACTGAGCGGTTGGTTAGGTGAATGAGTCTAGCAGCAGCATTCATGATAGACTGAAGGGGGGATAGCCAGTGTAGAGGTAGGCCAATGCGGAGGGAGTTGCAATAGTCAAGACGAGGGATAGAATAAGGTTTTATAAACAATTACTGGGAGCAATGCCACCAAAAATCTGAATTTGCAGTTGCAAAAATGAGACATAACTTCAGATTAAAAAAAATACTCGTGTATTTCATGCAAAGGGTGTTGCATGCAAAAACATTTTAGGTGAGCTAGCCCCTTCGTCGGACAAATGCACCTACAACACATCTTAAGTCTCCACCCTGGTTCTATGACTACAGTATAAGCGCTACACATGCAGTGACCCATTGTACTGGATCATATACAGGCTTTGTTCACTCTTAAAAAAGGCTTCGGTCAGTAGTAGGGAAGGCTGTTGCAAACTACAGTGGAAGGTGAGGCTACCTACCCAGGTGTCAATTCTTAATATTTCAGACCCTAAGCTTCTTGACTTAGAATTTTCATTTTCGGTTTGCTCCATGCATGCTAGCTGCAAATTTTTTTTCCATTTAAAATTCCTTCATTTGTGGACTTATTTCAAATGCAAAATTAGCAATGTCGTTCTATTCACTGCAAAAGGTCTTTTGACATGCTTGTTTCTTTTCAGCAACTCTCTCTGCTTCCTCTAATTGAGCCAATTGTGGGAATGAACTTTGCACAGTTTCTTCCTTATGGCACTGGTCAAATAAGTGCTGGGAGTCGCCTTCTGGGGACCTTTGGCTGTGCCTCCCTTGATGGAGTTTCGGATTATTATTCCCAGTTGATTTTTAAGGTTTGTACAAATTCTACAGGACTTTAAGATGTCAAGTTTTATATCTGTTGATTGTATGAGATGCCTATCTTGTCATTAATATTTAAGCCACAAGATGGTGCCGTCAGGAAATGAAGATGTATGTGAAATGTGTAGTTATATCTGCTTTTATTTCTTTACATAAATGCAGTGGAATGAAATCCCTCTTTAGGAATAAGGCATAAGGCAAATTTAATCCTGAATAGATAGTCGAGTCGAGGAAGTAATCAAAAAGATCAGTACTACACAAAGGTGATATTTCAGATACTGGTGGAGTTTGGATGAAGTATTTGGGCAGCACAGTGGCGTAGTGGTTAATGCTTCTGCCTTGCAGCACTGTGGGGGTCACTGGTTTGAAACCTGGCCAGATCACTGTCTGCAAAGGAGTTTGCATGTTCTCCTTTGCTTGCGTGGGTTTCCTCCGGTTACTCCGGTTTCCTCCCACACTCCAAAGACATGCTGGTAGGTTTATTGGCTCCTGTCTAAATGAGCCCTGTATGTGACCTTAGATTGTAAGCTCCTTGAGGGCAGGGACTAATGTGAATGTGCAACTATGTAAAGCGCTGCGCTATTGTCGGCGCTATTGTCGGCGCTATAAAAATACCTGAAATAAATAAGTCGCATGCTCCAGCTCCCAAATCTCACTTTACAACAGTTCCCTGCTCTGTTTAATCCATACTGGATCTTTACCTCTGATATGGCAACAATGATCCCACTATACCTGTTGCATTCTTCATTGTGTAAAGCAAATGAAACACCCCACATGGAGAATCAATACCCCCTCTTTGCTTCATTGAGTATGCAGATTTTAGAACATAAGTAATGAGACCTAATTGCTGGACCTCAGAGTATGCATAAGAAGAAATAGAATTCATTCTCTAGCATATGTTCTTACCTTTTTGATTGTCCCACATAACCTCTGGACTTCTGGTTCAGGCAAACAGGTGATCTAACTCTGCAACAGCTGCACATACATGCAGGTATCTAATCATTGCTGTGAGGAGCGTTATAATTCCATATCTGCATTTAGTTATAGATGGCATAAAATTAAAAGACGAGCAGGTCTTAAAGATGTGTTGCTACGTGAAGCCCCTAATCAAAGGTGTACAAAGTAAACTCCCTTATAAAGTAGGCCTGTACCATGATCACTTTTCATAAGTTAGTTCTAGATAATCTAAATAAGGTGTTAGAGCATACCTGTTGTGTCACAAAATTGATGTGCCCTGCACTTTTTTTTGTTGCAAATCATGTGTGTGCATTTTTTTCAGAATGTGTACTATTTGTTTAGGTTTAGTTATGTGTTCATTTTTTTTTTTTAAGGGTTTGCTTTTTTCTGGTAGAATTTTTTTTGTCATCTATTAAGGGACACAGGAATTCAGATATAGTATGGTTACACTGCCACCTGCAGGAAGAGTGGACATTTAGCAAACAAGAAAATCGTAAGCCAGCCCCCAGTATAACCCTTTCTCTAACCAGCATGCCTCAGATTTCACTTATGTTCTAGGAGGATGGACACCTTTTTTTTTTGGTAAAAATTTTATTTTTTGGTTCTTCAATTTAGTTGGTGGACTTTTTCTTGCTTTGACTCATATCAAGGCTCCTTATCACACTGCTGCTTGAACTGGTCTCTACGTAGCAACTATTTAGGTTGGCATTTCCTTAGTTTGGCTTTGAAGGCTGTACATGGGTCCAGCTGGAGTGTATCTGCATGGCTAGCCAGGAGTGTAACATTCTGGCACTGCACTGTGTTACTTGATTACATCTAGACCTGATTCTATTGGTAAAGCTACGGTGCTCTTTTATGGTCCAGAGTTGTGGCATAACCCCATAGCGTGACCCAGTCTTTGATTTTGTTAGTGAGGCTATTTGGGCTACAGCACTACCTCACTATGTGCACCATTGGGTGCTTTTCAAATTTCCCACCACCATTGGTTCTACTGCAGCAAGGATTAAGTGTCTGAGAGCTGACTGCATCCTCTCGGAGTGTTGCTTGTGCTCTTTCCTGCCATTCATTTGGAAAGCACCATCCCTTTGCGTCTCCTGCTTGCAAAGCCCAATGTGGAACTCCAGTCTGTTGCTGATGCCCTGGTCATCTCTGGCTGTCTGACCCTCATAAGCACCAGCTGCTTGGGTTTGAGACCGTGCCTTGCAGGTTGGGCCTAGTTTCATTGCTACTATGTGGGAGTAGCATGTCTGCACAAGCTACCTGGGGATCCAACTAGCTGGAATACTTCCATCCCCAGGCCAACCTTGACCAAGTTATGAGCTTCGGACTCCATTGGACACCATTTAGGTGTTGCAGTACCCTTGCCTAAGGGAAGGAGTGGGAGTCCCCCGTGCAGTACTGACTGCATGTGGTCCCTAGACCTCCCAGTGAAGCCTGTTCGTGTTTTGTACTGTGTTGCCCTACCTTCAGACGGACTGATTCTGGATATCTAATCTGCTGTGTTGCTTAATAGACATGATAAAAAAATAGGATTTTTCTACATACAATAAAATCCATTTCTTGGAGTCCATCAAGGGACACAGGTCCCACCCATCTGTGTTTGTGTTCATGCCCCTAGTATTGCTTTACCACAATACTGAGGCATGGGTATAGAAGGTGGTATTCTGGGAGCTGCATTACACTTTTTTGTTTGCTACTGTCCAGTCCTCTGTAGGTGACCTGACTGAATCTGAATTCCTCTGTGCGTTAATGGACTCCAAGAAATGAATTATACAGTATGGTGCATTTTAGTCTACACATTAATTTTTATTATTATTTCCCTGTAACACATTTTTATAACACAATTGTTTTATTTGTTTTAACAGCAAAATAATCTCAGTAATCCGCCCACACCTCCAGCCTCTTTGCCACCTACTCCACCACCAGTGGCCTGTCAAAAGATGGTGAATGGTTATGCCACCACTGAAGAACTGGCAGGAAAAGCTGCCATTCTTGGAGGACATGGTATCTTTGATATTACCTATTACGTACAAACATAATGTCGTACTCTGTGTACTGCTGTTATCTTTACAAACATTTTTGCTTTTTCATTTCAGTTACCAAAGCTCTGGGACCCAAACAGTTCCACCTGCCTTTCAGGTCCCAGGATGATCTTTTGGCTAGAGCCATTACTCAGGGACCTAAATCAGTGGATGTCCCAGCTTCATTACCGACACCACCACACAATAATCAGGAGGAGTTGAGGTGAGCAATTTACTAGACTGCATAGCAAGTTAACTCTTCCTCATTATCAAACCACAGATTGCAGGGGAACACGGAAAGGTGTTGGCCTTCAAAAAGCATTAAGGGTTTAGGACCCATGACTTTGACATATTTGTGTAGATGATGGGGCGTTTAGGTTTATCCAAAGCAAAAATATTTTTTTTTGTTTTGAACACAGTGTCAAAGAGTTAGATTCTTTGTCAGGTTTTTTATTTCTATCTGTGTCCCCATTTGGGAGATTCACCCACTCTAGTTGTCTTGGCCTAGTTGTCACAAGGACTAATAGTGAGAAAAAAAATGTAACATTAAGTTGTCCCCAGAACAAGGATAGATGGAAAATCTTCCAATGAGGAGACTTATTCCAGCGATGAAAGAAGTGATTTTCCTTATTTAGGAGAGAATTTTCCTTCCTGTTGTGCTTGTGATAGGGGTTTTAACCCTTCCCCATTCTATCTAAAACAACATAAAAAAAACTCAGTGAATCGTAAAGTAAGATGTATTAGCCAGCTTTCCCAGGTGTACTTGCAGAGGGGGTCCCACTCCTATTCAATTTTATTTTACACTGAGAATGCTGCAAGTAGAATGGCAGCACCTCATTTGCCATAGGATATAGGAGTCCCCAAAATGGCCATGGAATTCCCATGAGATACAAAAAGCCTGCATTAGATTTGACACCGCCTAATGCTGTCATGGATGGATAGTAGCAAGAGTAACTTTGTCACACAAAGTTACTCTTTAAGCGTGATGAATTGCTTTGTTGTCTGTGTTTAAATAAGCTGTTTGTGTTTAATGTTCAACAGGGTTCAGGATCACTGTGATGGCAGGGACAGCCCTGACAGCTTTGTGCCCTCCTCGTCTCCTGAGAGTGTGGTTGGAATGGAAATTAGCAGGTACCCGGATTTGTCACTAGTGAAAGAAGAACCTCCAGATCCAGCGCCATCCCCCATCATTCCAATCCTTCCCAGCAGCACAGGAAAAGGTGCTCTTCTTTTCTCTTTGTACATTTAGCATAGCAGTAATGGTAGAAAGTGCCATTCATTTCGTTTTAAGCCTAACTGAACCTTCAGTTTACATAAGATAAATGCATTCCGTGTACATCAGAACAAATGGTATGCAAAGTCTTAAATTTATTTTCTTCTATAAATCAGCCACAGCCTGAGTTGAGAAGCCTATCACATGCCAGCATGCTTGCAGGAAAGCCAGAACTCTCCACTTGGCAGGGAACATGAGCTTTGCTGGTCTAAAACAGTAGGGGGGGGGTGTTGGACCTCTGATGTACCTGGAATGTATGTAGCTGATTTAAAATGAAGGTTTAGTTGGGATTTAAAGCTGAACTCTGGTATAAGCAAAATATTGTCTAAATAAGAGAGGCTTGTGTATCCTTACCTGAATCTTGGTGTGCAGTCACTGCTGCTCTCTCTCCTTGTGTAGGGTGACTGGTCTTGTATCTGCCCCCTTCTTTAGTTTTCTGCAGGCAGCCTGTATTGGATGGGTCTGCTGGGTTCCTCCCACAGCTCTCAGCACAAGCTCTGTGCAGCACAGTGGTGATGTCTCTGCTACTTTCCCAAGGGAATAACTGGCAAAGGTGTTTGATGAACACAAAGTGAATTTATATCCTTTGTGGCTATTAGGGAATATATTTAAATTCTGCTTTAATTATATCAAAATATATAGTTGCCTCTATGGTTTTCACTGTAATATATATATCTATCTATCTATAGATATCTATCTATCTATATATATATATATATAGTACATTTATGCTAGCCATACACACCACACTCTAATGGTTCAATAATCTCTTGAATTGCCTGGCATACCAAATGGCTTTCATTTTGCTTTTTACCTGTGTTGGGACAAATTTTACAAAAAGTGGAAACTCTTGTTAGAATGGCAGAATTGACCATCATTGCTTCCAACACAATTGCTCCTCATGTCACTTATCAAATATTTTTTAAGCAGTTTTCTAGGTACAAAAACAATTAAAGTATATCCCATTATAGCCATAAAGGATATAAGTCCACCTTGTATACAATAAATGCATTTACAAATCCAGATATCACCTTGTAACGGCAGCATCATTAATCTGCTGCAAAGAGCAGAGCTGAGGGTTGGACCCAGAAGGTCCATACACTACAGATTGTCTACAAGGCCAGTTACATTGTGCAAGGAGGCAGTGCAGTAGTGACTGATCTTTATTATAAAAGACTCCTGCACAGTGGCAAAGTGCAGTAAATGTTTCATGCTGGAGTACTGCATGTATCAGGACAAAATAAGCAGAGGACTTCAGGATTCAGGTGAAAATACATATGCCTTTTATTTTTATTTAGCCTGGGTTTTAGCTTTAAAAAAACTTTGATTATGAAAAGTATGTTCTAATGTGGATGGCATACATCTGATGGTTTAATTGGATGATCACTTGAAATGGCAGAATATTTTCATCTATATGTGGTAAATTGCTGCAATCATTTTTACATTTGTACAATAATTTTTCCAATTGAAAGCTGGTAGGCCCATGTCACACCAGCGATCCAGTCGCCATACAAGCTGGCAAGAATTTTCACTGCCTGCTGTGTCCTGTAAAGCGATCCTGCCTCTGGCGAGTTCTTACCAGCAACAGGTTCGCCAGTGTGACATGGGCCTTAGAAAGGGTACGAGATTGCTGCTGGGGATGACCAGCACTATTCCATTTTCCTGGGTAGAATGATGATGTGCTCTCAGGAGAAGCATTTTTATATTCTTCCTGTGCCTCATATGGCCCTCACACATAGAGGCTTCAACCACTGGTGGGGTAATGTATTTGGCCTCGTAACCCTTTATCGTTTCAGACCGCAGATAACGGAATTATGTACATAATAAAATTATTTACTTTTCATTTGTCCCTCATCTCTAACCTCTGTTCTTTAATTTTTGTCATAGGATCTGAAGCCAGGGACTTTGGATTTAAGAGAGAACCTGGTACATTCTTTTTTGGCTCACACTTTAGCCATACACCAAATGGGCCTAAATCTGACATGATATCTGTGGCAATCACACTGCACCCTACTGCCGCTGAGGTAACTGATCTTTTATCTGGTTTCATGGTTTTCTGTCTTGCTTTCTTCATTGTTCTAGGAAGAGCCTAGTAAAAATGTATCAGCTTTTCTCTTTTATTGGAGGATTAAAAAGAAAGTCCTGGGTGTTCCTCTGCCATTACATGCTTACCTAGGCAGTTTCTTCCCTCAGACAATTTGATGAGAAAGAGCCACTAAGACTAAAAGTCTTTGCTGCTCATCCATTGGGGGACACAGGAAGCCCTTAACCTTCAAGTTATGCTGCCACCTACAAGAGGATTGAACACTGGCAAACAAAAATTTAGCCCAAGGTATAAACCCTTGGTATTATACTACCAACATGCCAGCTGTGGAACCTTTGATGCCTACTTACTGAATGCTTTTCTTAGAGGAGTCACAGCCATCTGCTCTTATTCCGTTGTGGCCCTTTTTGATAGTGTTTTACACCCTGAAACTGGAAGATCAGCATGTCGGATGTTTCATTAAGGATGCTACTGGCGGTTAGAGTGTCTGCCTTCTACAGTCAAAGAACCCTAAGGGGCAGCATTGCAAGTCCCCTACTTTTCGTTTTACTAAGCTCAGGACTTCCATGTAAAGCCCTCCCAAGCTTGGCAAGACCTGGTATTCCGTGTCAGCCAAACGCACTGCTAAACCCATCAGCATGTAAGCAGGCCTCCACTTTCAAGAGTGGGGGGAAGTCTACTAGCCTTTATGTACACTTGGAAGCCTTGCATACCAGATGCTTGGGCACAAGAGGTGGTGTACCAGGGTTACAAGCTCAAGTTTTGTTCCCTCTTCACTTTCTCATCTCCAGTCTTCTGGTTTCGCCTCAACATCTGGCTAATCTCTAACATGTGCTCTCTTGGCTCAAGGGATCATCGTCTCCCTGCTGGAAGACTTTCAGAGATTGTTCTCCAACCTATTCATAGTCCTTGCTCCAGTGTTAGCCCTCTTATGCTTTTGAGGTATTCTGATGGCTACCTAGACGACCTCTTCTTGAATGAACAGTCTGTAAGGGCTTTGACAGACAATGATTCCCTGATTGTCCAGATGTTGCAGATATTCAGATGGATTCCGACCCATCACTTGGAATATCTGGGGCTAGTTCTTGACACTTACTGGTTCAGGGTTTCCTCACTCAGGAGAAAACTTCCTGTCTAAGGTTTGTGAATTTCAGTCCATCAGCCATCCAACTCTCTGCTTCTGCATGTGACTTGGGTCTGACAGTGGCCTCCTCACAGGCAGTTCTTTAAGCTCACTTTTATTCAAGGAATCTGCAATGCAACATTTGTCATCTTGGGAAAAGTTGGTCCAGTTTCAGAACAGACTGATTTGTTTGACATCAAGGACCAGGAGGTCCCTTTCCTGGTGGCTTTGGTATCCAGCTCTGACATTAGAGAAATATTTCCTCCCTGGGTTTTGGAAGATCCTGGCAAGGTATGCCAGCCTTTCAGGCTTGGGAGGGGGAATCCTAGGAACTCTGAGGTGCAGGTTACTTTGTCAGTGATGTAACCTTGTCACCTGACAAGCATCCCAAAGCTTTGGGTAAATTGGTCCAGTATTAGGCCAACCTTTTCTCCGGTCTCCAACCTCAGTCAGGCAATGTTGCCACTTTTTCATTCTGCAAGATGTATTCTCTTTGCCATTCTGAAAGGTCCCAGTAAGGGCACCCTGGCTTCTAGTTCTACTGTTTCTAGGTGGCTCAGACAGACTTGTGTGAGCTTATGGTCAAGGATCGGGTTCCCCTATTTCCAGTCAAGGCTTAGTCTACCAGGGCTTTTCCACAACAGTCCTCTGTTTCTCAGATTTTTAAGGCAGCCACCTGGTCTTCCATTTGCCAAGTAGACGTTTCAACCTCTTCTGATGCCAGCTTTAGATGCAAGCTTCTTCAGGTGGCTCTTTGAGCTGCAGGCAATCCCCAGTTCCTAAAGATTTTTGTACTAGCCGTAGAATCCTTTTCTCTGAGTCAATAGAGGGACACAGGTCCCACTGCTCTGTGTTTGATCATGTTCTTGGTACTGCTTTGCTGGAAAACTGAGGCATGTTGGTAGCAGGAGGTTTTATACCATGGGCTGGCCTAATTTATTTCTATTTTTTTTTTTTTTTTTGCCCGTCAGCTAATCCTCCTGTAGGCAGCAGAATAACCCAAATGTTTAGGACTTCCTGTGTCCCCTGATGGACTCCAAGAAAAGGATTCTGTGGCGTGTCCAAGAATCTGATACTCCTCAGTCCAGACTGTTTTCTAGCTCTCACATATGTGAGATTCAATCCAAAAATGACTTTTCCCTGCGATACGATTGTGGATGGAGCATGTCAGTAGACCTGGCCATGTCCCAGTATGGATAATCTGATATCATGGAAAAATGTAAACGCCCCTTACTCCTTAGAAGCCCTGCAGTCCAGATGTATAGCAGGTGTATGCCAGGAGCCCATGCACGCTCCTTACCTTTCTATAGTCCGTAATTAAAATGACTCGCACCACTGGCCTCACCATGAGTCAAAGCTTTTTTTTTTCAACTCTGATAAACACACTGCCGTCCCAGCCTTGTAGACTGCCCACCTTGGGGCTTTTTCGGGCTTAGTCGTAGAGATCTCTAAGACTAAGCCCATAAAGGTGAAATGCGATAATGGGGGTCAGCAGTGTGTTTGATGGAAGTGTGCAGCATTATCATTATGAACTATGGGTGAACTAACATCTTACACTCCTCACATGACCTTGGTTCAGATTCATGATATGCTGTCTTATAGTACAGTGCATGTAGGGGGATCACTAGGGCATATCTATTTTGCTTACAGAGCAGGTGAAAATGTATTTGTGTAGTATGTCTATTACATGTGTAGCTGGCTGCAGCTACTCTTTAAGTATATGTCAACCCTAACAATAAACATCTCTTATTTGATCCCTTTCGGTCTGTTTAAATATACCATTAAAATTGTTTGGTCATATCTTTTCAACAAATACAAAAGCATACCTGTATATTCTGTCAGATATCCACTACTGTCCTGTGCATTTTTATTAGCCATGCCCACTTCAGCTCTGTGATAGGATCTATGGAACATGTCCATTCTATGTTATGCAGAGGAGGAGGTATTCTGCAGTCCCTGTCCTAGTGTGACAACACTGTTCCTCCATAGATACAAAACAGTGAGTGTTGTTACCCTAGGACAGAAACGTGTCTTACTGGCAGGATTACCAGGTAAAAATAAAAGAATCCCCCCCGATCGGAGGTTTCTGATTGGCCATTAGTGAATCAGAAACCTGAGATTGGCTAATAGGATTGGGTCATTTCACTTTTGAGATAGTACTAGGATAGATAGCATAGAATAAGAATTTTGATGAATACTGCTTCACGTAAGAAAAGCAATAGACTGTACAACAATGTAATGAATAAAGAGAACTTATATAAACTGTGTTTGTAATTTTCCACATATGAGCAATGAAGACCCTCAACAGATTTACATAGAGTTCCAAGGCTATGCCAGTCTCCTCATGAATTAGATTGCCATAAGAGCACATTTCATATGTACAGTTGTTCAGGTAAGATAAATATCTGTTCATATTATGTTTTTGTAACCACCAAATGTTCTTTCTGTATAGAACATCAGCGGGGTAGTTTCAGCCTTTGCGGATCTTTTACAAGTCCACATTCCCACCAGCTATGAAGTGAGCAGCGCTCCAGACTCTGGTTCTCTCATCCTAATGAATGGGCACAGTATGCACTCTAATATGGAGTATCGAAATCCGCTGTTACGCCACCGTCCCAGGCCTGGCAACATACCTCCAGCCAGATTTATCGGACCCTATGCCATGAAGGCCCACAACTTGCCATACATACCAAATAATAATGGTGAGTTTTGAACTCAGGTTGTATTGTGTAACATGAAAATCATATATGCCTTCTGTTTTATATAGTGGTAGAAAATAACAATACTATCAGTATGTAAGATATATTACTAGGACTATATTACTGTACTTTTTAATGTATTATATAATAAAAATGAGGAAGAATGTTTGATAATACAAACATACCATGGATAGATCAGTGTTTTATTGTTCTATAATATTCCCAGGTATGCCAGGATATAGACACAATACCACCAGGGTATTGGGAGATTCTGCAACCCTTAGGCCATCATGGTGCTGCCACTGCAAAGTTGTGGTCTTAGGAAGCGGTGTCCGAAAATCTGTGAAGAATATCAATTTTCCTAAACGGGTATGCATCACACGGCTGTGTTATTCTTACTATATAGTGAGTAGCTTGAAGAAAGCATAGCACTGGGCAGTGTGTGCTGAACAAATGGTAATAATTTGCTTTTCTCCTGGCTAACCAATATTTATGTGTCACAGGAGTTTCTTCCCAGCGCTGGCCAGATGGATGGTGAGCTTGTCTTCTGCAGCAACAACTGCTTTTTGCTGTATTCTGCAGCACAAGCCAAGTGCAGTGAGAACAAGGTAATTCAGATAATGATAGACAATAAAAGACTACTTAACGCTCTGACAGATCATTTTCTATGAAGTCGTGTACACTAGCCATGAAAGTCAACCAAATGCAAAGGAGCACAAAAGCATGCATTTGTTCCAGCTTTGGAGTGCTTTGAGATCTGTTTAAACTGTTCTCAGCACATTGTAAAGCTGGAGCAGATTCATGTGTCTTTGCTTTAAGTTGCATTGTTTTGAGATTCTTAAAAATTCATAGCCTCCATTTATGATCTGTTCATATAAAATGTCTTTAATATACTGCAATTTACTCACATTCTATTGACTGATCTCTTTCTTTGTTGATTATTGCAAATCTGGGAAATGTGGATTGATTTTTGCTACAGTAGTTGTGCACTTTTTTGTCCCATTTATGATACCGAATGTATGTCTTTTTCTAGTATACCCACATTTTCAGGTGTCTTGGGGTTCATTGTTCTAAATATAGAGCTGGCCCCACATGGGCTTTAGATTCAGAATTACAGAACAGAATCTTTACATAATGTATTGCTGCAGCCATTGGCCTGTGCTTCTATAACGAACTTTAGGGCCAACAGTAATAGAATGAAATGTGTGTACAGTGATTCTAGTCATTACCACAACTGACAAAGCTGTGACTTCTGTATTGGTACTCATAAAAGTTCTCGTGGTATTTGCACATACTATGCCTTTAATGCCTTGTTTATTATCTGTTTTGTAGAAGCAGGACCGTTCCTTAACTCTTCCGTTGTTGAAGGAACCTCAACCAAAGTCTTGTCATCAGTACAGTAACAACACTTCCACCCTGGATGTTCATTGCCTTCCTTTGCTGCAGAAGGCCTCACCACCTTCATCTCCTCCTATCTCTTTTCCTCCGGCTGCTTTTGAAACCGCTAAAGTTGAGGCAAAGCCAGATGAACTGAAAGTCACTGTGAAGTTAAAACCGCGGCCCCGAGCCGTGCACAGTGGTTACGATGATTCCCGTCCCGTCAGCAAGAAATGGAAAGGAATGAAGTGGAGGAAATGGAATATTCAGATAGTTATTCCCAAGATGCCTTTCAAGCCTCAGTGTGAAGATGATATAGATGCATTTTTGAAAAAGCTGGGGACATCACTAAAGCCAGATCCGATGCCCAAAGATTTTAGAAAATGTTGTTTCTGCCATGAAGAAGGCGATGGAATGACAGATGGATCCGCAAGGCTTCTCAACCTTGACCTTGACCTTTGGGTCCACTTAAACTGTGCTCTTTGGTCTACTGAGGTCTATGAGACACAGGCTGGTGCCTTAATTAATGTGGAGCTGGCATTAAGACGAGGTCTGCAGATGAAGTGTGTATTTTGTCATAAAATGGGAGCCACCAGCGGTTGCCACAGGTTAAGGTGCACCAATATTTACCACTTCACCTGTGCAATAAAAGCACAATGCATGTTTTTTAAAGACAAGACTATGCTTTGCCCCATGCACAAGCCAAAGGGAGCTCATGAGCAAGAACTGACTTATTTTGCAGTCTTTCGTAGAGTTTACGTTCTGCGTGATGAGGTGCGACAAATTGCCAGCATTGTACAGCGCGGTGAACGTGACCACACTTTCCGTGTCGGCAGTCTGATCTTCCATGCAATTGGTCAGCTGCTACCACAGCAAATGCTGGATTTCCACTCTGCAACAGCGCTGTTTCCAGTGGGATATGAAGCCAGCAGGTTGTACTGGAGCATGCGCTATGCAAACAGACGCTGCCGCTATCATTGCTCTGTCGAAGAGAAAGATGGATTACCATTGTTTGTCATCAAAGTGAATGAACAGGGCCATGAAGACCTGGTTCTGACCGATTCTACACCAAAAGGTGAGGGATGTGTTAATAGACCAACACAGAAGAAAAAGACAACGTTCTTATTTTGTATACCTGCAACAGTAATTTGACCTACTGAATAGCTCCCTGCACCTCTACAATTTGCAGCTTCCTGACCCTTGGCCCTGCCATCTCCTTGTCCCATGTGCCTGTTGGGCCAGCTAGTATTGCTTGTAACCAATAAGTCAATACGTCCATGAAAGCACTCTCTGGATTTCGGGGTGTAGTGGTACTATGGTGGGGGACAGATAAGTCTTGTAAGGGCCATCATCCTCATCCTGGCTTCACTAGCTACTAAGGCACTGACTTCAAATAATAAAATGAAACTACATCTGCATTATGGTGGTGAGGACTTACAGCCATATTGTTTAAACATGCGCAACATATTGACACATCATGGCAGGCTTAGCGCCAAAGGGGCCGCTGCAGACCGCCATGCTTTGGCACTCTGTTACTGCTACTGAAATGTTTATCTAGCCCTCTTCTGGGTCCATGTCATTCTCTTGATTGGCCTGCCCAGGCGGAGAGTGTACTCTGTGCTGCGCATGCTCGGCTCAGTGTACAAATAAAAGAACATTTAATAGTTCACACTGCGCTCATGTTTTCAGTGTTAGGCATTTGTACTTCCCCATAATCTGCCGTGGCCCGCAATTCAAAGTATATTGCTGGCAGGCAGAATAGACATACAGAGTGTATTCTGCAATAAAAACTTACCTCCCAGCATTTTGTTTTTAGACGAAACACTGATCTTCCTCCCACATTCCCTTCTCGTTTTTATGTGCGACATGTAAAAAAAAAAGTGTGAAGCCCAGTGCCTCTGAAGTTTGGCCAATTCAACAGTCAGCGAGGCGGAGGAAGTTTTGTGCTGGATCTTCACATTGATGTTGTAGATTCATAAATCTCCAATGATAATGGCATGTAGGATTGGAGTGGGAGACTGCTTTCATAGGGACAAAGTTTGAAATGGGCCGCATGTCTACAGAGGGTTAGCTGTACTCTGTACTTCTGCCTTGCTGCTTGTACTACTATATATATGTATTCTGTCTTTTGTGCTTCCAGTTCCTTAATGTCACACCAATATGTTCTTCATGCAATTGTTAGATACAGTATGTGGCCAAAAGTATGCGAGTTCCAGTGTTTTCAGTGAAGGGTGATGTTAATGCTACAGCATGCAAAGACATTTTAGACAATTGAAAGGCCCGTCTTTTCATCCAGCCGAAGCACCTGACCTCATAAATGCTGTTTTGGCTGAAAGGCCACAAATTCCCACCAACACAAAATGTTGTGGCAAGCCTTCCCAGAACAATAGACTGTTCTAGCCACAAAGGGGGTGCCGACTCCGTATTAATGCCCATGGTCTTCCAATGAGATGTCCAACAATCTCATATAGGTGTGATGGTCAGGTGACCACAAACTTTTAGTTTTACAAGTGTGTATGTGTTTACAGGCTGCATGGTCATACTTTGTTGCATTGTTTTTCAGGAGTTTGGGACAAAATCCTGGAACCTGTTGCAAACTGCAGAAAGGGTTCAGAAATTCTCAGGCTGTTTCCAATTTACCTGAAAGGAGAAGATCTCTTCGGTTTAACTGTATCTGCAGTTGCAAGGATCGCAGAATCGGTATGTTTACAGAACAAGGTTTTTTTTCCCGAAATGCAGTGAAAATTGTTAATTTTTACTATATAGTTAATAAAATACAAGAAAGAAAGAGAAGTTTGGTGTTGAACATGGATGTACAGTGTAGCATAACATTTTCCAATATAGATGAGGAGTTTTGCATGGTGCCATTGATGATATAAACAATCGGTGTTGGCGATGAAATATGTGTAGAGGGTGGAAGAAAGCCCAATAGATAGATTTAGTATACGGGGGGCTTATCTCTGAGGTTTCAGAAATCCTACCTAGTGAGGGAGATGTAATGTGCTCCAGAAAAGGTGATACATGGTGGGAGGGTAGAGAGAGGAGAGATATAGCAAGGTGAACGGGGAAGACATTTGTAGGGTAGAAGAGATTCACAAATAAGAAATGAATCAAAGTTCTGAGAGTAGCGCTATGGTAAATCACACAATACCAGCTCACCCCATTTAAGTACTTACTGGCCAGTGGCCCGTAGCCAAAAACTACTTTAAATAATTCCAAGGAATTGAGGAAAACTTAATTTAGCTTTCCAAATAGTAAATTTTCCTTAAAAGGATCTAATACTTTGCAGCTTTCCTCGTTCATTGTAATTCCTGGAGTTGGAGGATTTCTTCCTGTAAAATGAATCTCGTAACTGCCAATCCATGACGTATACATTGCTTTTTCCACTTCTCCAGAAATCTCTCATTCTGTAGATGTTCGGCTGGGACCACTTTGTCCCTCAAACCCCTTGGTACCACTTTAGCTTCTAAATTGGATTCTAACCACATAATATCCTTTTTTTTTCTTTGAGTGTTTTTTACCTAAACGTTTACGTTGTCTAAACCTCATGTTGATGTATCTTTCTGTGTCCTGATTTCTCTGGGAAGCTGTTCTTATTTCCTCATCAATGTCCGCTCCCAGTGTGTGAATCTTAGCAGGAACACTAAAGGAAACGGAACACTGAGGTCCCAAAATAACACTTATAACAAATGCATAAAACTACTGAGGGGTTGTCATTTGGATTTTCTATATTTTGTGAAAAATGTGTTTACAATAAAGATTATGGGTAATGAAGATAATGCGCAGTTGGCCTTTGTATAATGAGAAGCCGCAGTATACCGCGAGCTGCTGCTCGCATAGGTGAGCGAACGCCGGTATGTGTTCGCTCACCTCCCGATCTACTGAGCCGACCTGTGACAGTCTCATTGTCACAGGTTGGCTAGAACTATGAGGTGAGTGAAAAGCACTCGCCTCATAACCTTTAACCAAAATTTGAGCTTTGTATGGCCAGCCTAAGAAGAGTGAATTTGCTTTGTTTCTGCTGCTGCATGGATGGGTGTGACAGGTAGGTTTGTACAAAACACGATTGTGTGTCTGGTGTGCGTACAACAGAGCGCTTCCGGCAAAGCTGTATCTTCATTTCATACATATCCAAATGACACACGCACGCACCACTGTTGTCAAGTGTTTACGTTCCTCTGGCACACTCTCCCCACCTTCTCTTAGGAGTCGTCAGTACGTTGCATCTACATATTATTCGGGTTGGAGCAGTGGCAGCAGCTTGAAGACAATTGCTGTAAAAAAGAAAAATGTTACTTTTGAGTTGTCATCATTTGACCTAAAACAAAGTTAATCATATTGGAAAATGAAATCTTTAATGTGCCGATGCCTGTGTATAGAAGTTTCCTCTCTCATCTATGTTCTTTGTGGTTTATTTTCCATTCTGCAGCTCCCAGGAGTTGAGGCATGCGAAAAATACACTTTCCGTTATGGGCGGAACCCATTGATGGAGCTCCCCCTGGCCATCAATCCCACTGGGTGTGCCCGCTCCGAACCCAAGATGAATAATCATGTCAAGAGGTTCGTGTTAAGGTATTTTCTTTTCATTTCACATTGTACAGCCCCGGATTTAAGGCATCGCTAACGCTATGTGTTGTTTCCAGACTCTGTTGTCTTTGGCTGTGTATCTGTTTGTGCGTTTATACCGCTGCAGTCTTGTCTGCACTAGCTTGCTCTTTGTTTGCACTTTACCTGAAGCAAAAGTAATCTTCAGTTTCCTCTGTGTGGTGTTATGTGACTATCTGCAGGCCTCACACCTTGAATAGCACCAGCACTTCAAAGTCCTTTCAGAGCACAGTTACAGGAGAACTGAATGCTCCATACAGCAAGCAGTTCGTCCATTCCAAATCCTCTCAGTACCGGAAGATGAAGACTGAATGGAAGTCCAATGTCTACCTGGCTAGGTCTCGGATTCAGGTTGGTTTTTTTTCTCTGCAAAGGCTGCATGAAAAGCACTACAGACAAAACACAATATACACACAGTACTGTTGTGAAAGGAAAAAGCTCTGTCCATAAAAAGCAGCCACTGAGCTCCCGTCATGTAACAGCAGCTATTCCTGGTTCTATCTTCTCTCATACAGTCTGGTAGCTAAACTAGAGAAAATCAATCAATTCTTCTATCCAACCAAGTGTATGGAGGAATCTCCATTGCCAGCTATTGTGTTCACGGCTAGGTTGGTGGTCAGAGATATTTGTGGCACAGAAACAATCCACACTAAAATCTTCCTTTCCGCGGTTTCCTTTTGGTAAATAAGTTGCTGATGCATTGCATTAAAGGGGTTAGGTTAAGGACATTGTGGTAGACGCGTGGGCTGGTGGAAACGAGCCCTAAGGGTCCCATTTATAAAGCAGCTGGCACTTGGCTTGCATCGGGACTCCAAAGCATCCCATTTTTGTGCAGAATTTTCCTGATTTACATGTATAAAAAAACAATAATAATAAAGGATTCCTCAATCAGGTTACAAGCGAACTTCCAGCATTGAAGTAGAGGTGTGCCATCTTAAGGTCACACCAGCAAGTCATGTACTTACCTCTGTGGAATCGCTTTCCCGCTGGCCCTGAATCTCCTTGCTAAGGAAGAAGCGACATCCCACTGGCACAGCAAGTTGTTGCCAGCGTTAGGGTTGCCTTTGTGATATCAGACTAAGTATATAGGAAAGAAAACGACTTGTCATGTTAATAACACTAAACGTAAATAAAATCTTATCAGTTCGTATCCCTTCTGCCTGGCTTCATGCCTATGGGAAGAGTATAACGCAGGGGTAAGCAAACGTTGGCCCATCCAGCAGTGTGTCGAATAGTTATTTCCCCTGCTGCGTGCTGGGGTAACTCATGCCCCCGAGGGCAACGGGTAGCAGGTTTTTCACACACCTGGGAAGGCTTTGGTTACTGCAGCATCCGTCCAGTGCCCCAGGAAAGGTCAGTATGGTGCCTCTCCTCTTTGCTGTGTTCACTCTGTAGTTGCAGGGTCACCTTAGTGAATCCATTCTTTTTAGCTGAGAGGAGACGAGACTGTTAATACATTTTATCATCTTATTTGTTTACATCGCTATGTTCTCTGAGATCTCATATTTTCTCCATGTTCTTTTATTTTTAGGGTCTGGGGTTATATGCTGCTAGAGATATTGAAAAGCACACTATGGTGATTGAATACATTGGAACCATAATACGCAATGAAGTAGCCAATAGAAAAGAGAAGCTGTATGAATCTCAGGTATGCTGTCTATGTAGATGTCACCCCAGCACTTTAAAATCACTTTGCTTCTATGTCTGTAGGGCTGGGGCTATGGGTGGGGAAAACCAGGCGATGTACCTGCACAGTAAGAGACTTCCAGCTCCCATACTCATGGCTGCTGTGTGAGGAACTCCGATGGGATGGTGCAGGAGGCGTGGGCAGATCTCAACACTGACTACAACCCGGAAGTGCCTTGCCATTGCATCCTTTAGTCCTTTGCACGGCAGGGTGAAAAAGAATACTGCTTGATTGAAGGCAGTGGGTTAGCATTGCCACCTTGTTGCAGGAAGTTACCTAAACTGTGCTGAGACTGGCGGGATCTCCAGGTAAGACCCAGGGAACATTAGCAAAACTACAATTACAAATAGTAGCTGTAAAAAAATAAGTCAAGGCAACTGCACTCGCTGTATTTTTCTTAAAGACGTTTCACTGGTAATCCAACCAGCTTTCTCAATTGTGAATTGTCCAGTTGCCTTGACTTATTTTTTACAGATATACCGTGACCTGGATGAATGAGAACCTTCACAGACCATCACACATAGTCCCATCCACTCAATTATAAGGAACGGGAGAAGTCATTTATTTATGGTGGATTCTGTACGCTTTGTTCTGTACGTTAGTCTGATTCAGTATTCATTTTAAAGCTGTTTGTTTTCCTGAAACCTTTGTTGCAGAATCGTGGTGTATATATGTTCCGCATCGACAATGATCATGTTATTGATGCCACATTAACTGGAGGACCTGCAAGGTTTGTAATAATCATAAATACAGTTTTTACGCTCTTTCGTTAGCTTTGCTCCGAGTAGCAATGCAGAGACGCCATGTTTGCTTGTGCTGTGCATTTAGAAAGTGTTACAACACTGAAAATTTATTTGGGGGGGGGGGCTCTTCATAAAATACTTTTTTCACCCCACTTTGCACATCATTGCTGCAGACCTGCTCCTTGATGGTGACATTGATGGACCAGGTCTATATGTCAGTCAGCACGACTATTGTAGTCTGCACAAGGAGTGCATGTGACAATGCAGGAGCACAAATGGGAGAGAGTTGTCACCCCATCACAGGAACCTTCCTGGCAAGGTCACCAGATATTTCTTTAATGATATGGGTAAAATGATGAGACTTCAGTTTCCCTAATCCCGAGCTCCAAGCGTAAGCTCAGATTACAATACAGATGTCTCAGTATCCCAGCAGCGGGAGTCGGGGTAGAATGATCAAGGTTCCATAGCAGATTGCTTATCATATAAGGGTATGGGTTCCTATTCTGTGTTATTGGGGCCAAATGTCTGTAAGCCTTGGTCCATCATCCCTCTAAGGCATCGTTCTTGTAGTCGGGTTGTACAAAGCCTATGGTTTGATTTGTTTTTTAGATATCTTTGGGGAATGAAAAAGTAAAATGTCTGGTACCTTCGTATAGTGCTGTATATTCCGGATGTTCATGAATCTGTCAATGACGATGGTTTTATCACATACTTCACCTTTTGTCCAACTAGTAATGCTTCTCTTATGTTTTTAGGTATATCAACCATTCATGTGCGCCTAACTGTGTGGCTGAAGTGGTAACGTTTGAGAAGGGACATAAAATAATTATCAGCTCCAATCGCAGGATACAAAAGGGTGAAGAGGTACGATGTTTTCTGTTCATTCTCTAGTCAATGCATTCAGAAAACAGAAGACAATTATTTCCCCCCATTCTGTTGGGTTTCGTATTCCTGACCACTTCCTGGTCACAGCCTTAACTTTGAGCAGACGTTTCAGTTTTTGGTTTTTTTTTTATAATTTTTTATTGATTTTGAAAAAATTTGTAACAGAATTGGCACATAAATGTTCTAATCAGGCACAGAAAGTTCATAAAATGTCCAGTAACAAGAGTTTTCAGTAGCACCGAACCATAACTTCAAAAGAACGAGAGCTAGAATTTTACGGTGCTGGACTATGCAGAAGGGCCACTCGAGGGGAAGTGAAGTGTAGAGAAGAGGTAGAGAAGAAGGAGGTTGGAATGGGAGAGGGGAGGTAGGACACAGGTGTGGGCATCCCATAATGTAAATGACATGTACATTATACACGTTCCTCAGGGGGGAGGGGGATAACACAGTATTGGTGGTCACAGATCATTGTGGGGTAGATTCAGGGCCTATCACCTCCGTTCAAGTCGAGGTTCTGGGTCATCACGGGAGTAACAGATGTTTGTTTTGTGTTTCAGCTTTGTTATGACTATAAGTTTGATTTTGAAGATGATCAGCACAAGATCCCCTGCCACTGTGGTGCCGTGAACTGCCGGAAATGGATGAACTGAACGCATTCCTTGCTACTCCATGGTTTTACTTGTCCCTGAGATGTGATAAACATGCTGGCAAATGAGACATTTGTGTCTTCAGAGCCTGCTTAGCAAGTGAAACTAGATGCTGACCAAGGAGGAGGCCCCCGTCATGCCTCTCTGGAGTCTTCTGACCAAGGAGGAGGCCCCCGTCATGCCTCTCTGGAGTCTTCTGACCAAGGAGGAGGCCCCCGTCATGCCTCTCTTGAGTCTTCTGACCAGGCGGCTGGTTTCTGAGCGAGTCCCGTGCTTTTGCTTCATGTTTACTGAAGAAAATGTTTTACTGGGTCAAGAAACATGTCAGCAAGCGGGCAAATACCTGAATGTAAGACTGAGATCACCAGCGAAGCAAGATGCCCAGCGTGCTGGCCACAGCCTTATATGAAAAAGGGGCAGGCCCTCTAATAAAGAAAACTAAATAAATAAACGTAGACACCACTGAACAAGGAATGTACTGAAACGACTTCCTTAGGGATAGAGCTAAGGGAAAATAACTTGCACTAAAAATACATTTAAAATACTTGATTCCATGAGTCAGTTTATTGTAGTTTTTTTTTTTTTTTTTATTTCTGTAAAATAAGAGAAACTTTTTGTATTTATTATTGGATAACTGAATGAAGCTATTTTTTAAAAGAAAAAAAAAATAGAAGAAAGCCAAGCTGCTGCTGTTACTCGCAGAATTAACAAAAACTATGTTACTTTGTACAGACGTGTAAATAATTTGAAAATATAATACAGTATAAAATAGTGATTGACCAAATGCTACCAGACTCTGCAGCAGTTTGGGTGCTAATTTTGAAAATTTAAGATAGGGATGTTACAATGATTTTTTTGTATCATGTAAGACTTGATATTTTTTTAGTTCTTACCAATATAAAAAAAAAAAAAAAAAAAAAATTTTTTTTTAAAGTTACCAATAAAAAAAAAAAAAAAAAAAAAAAAGTTCTTTAGACAAAGTTGTCGTCTTTCTGTTTAAATTTGACTCGCCAGAACGGCATGTATTTTTTTTTTCCTTTCAGTTTAACATGAATCAGGTTCGGTCCCGTTTTGTTTTCATTTTCACATTTCAAGTCAGATTGTAACATCCCTGTTTTTTGGAGTCAGGTTCTTTGTGCTTATATTTTTGGATAACTGTGAATAACTGCTAAAACTACCCAAAAGGAGGGCTGTGCTTTTTTTTTTTCTTCCTTTTTCCTTTCAGCATACATAAAAAAAGAAAAAAAAAATGTCAGGTTTAGGTCACCAATTAATACATAAATCACAAGAAAGGAAAACGTTTCATGAAAGCATTTTTTGCTATTGTTAAATAAAAAAATATATATATTGTAGAATACAATACTTGCAACTGCAGGACTTTGGAGGTAGGATTTGCAAAAATTAATTTAAAGTTTGTAAGATTTTTTTGTTTACATTTCCTAAAATAAAAAGATACAATTTGTGTTTGCTTGTAGAAAGTTAATATGCTTTTGAATTTTTTTTTTTCTACTTCAAATTCCCGGTACCGACACTTCACAGGCTAAATATTAGAAGAAAAAAAGTAAAAAAAAGCTTTTTGTGTGCACAATGGAAGTGGACTGTATGCTCTCGATCTATTCAGTCACTTGTAATGTATATGGCATGATGTATTTTTTATCGTACAGAAGAAATGAATTGTATATATTTTTTTTCTCTTGGTAAATAGCTGTATGAAATTGTTTCTTGAATATTTTTCTTCTTGTAAGATATCTCAACATCCTACCAGTATTTGTCCTACAGTTCATTTTTCTCTGTCCTGTAAAATAGTATCTAATGTTGGAAAAAAATGATTTTTGGAGTATACAGAGTGTTATGGGTTTTGGAATTTGTGGAAGCAGATTTAGAAGATCAGCATTTACAAATAAAATATTTTACAACTATAACCTTTGTGTTACGTCTTTTCAGGAAAGATGCACTGAGTGGGATTTATCAAGACTGAAGCAGGAAGCATCTGGAGCAGTTGTCCATGGCAACCAATCGGCTTCTTTCATATTCAAAGCTTAAGTGAAAGAACTGAAGAGAGAAGCTGATTGGTTGCTGTGAGCAGCTGCTCCAGATTGTCCATCTCAGTTTTGATAAATTACCCCCTTTAAATACTGGTGCTTATCAATATACTTAGGGGGGAATTTATCAAAGCAGACAAAATCTATAGAAGCTGTGCATGGCAACCAATCAGCATCTCTCTTTCATTGTTAAACCTTTTAACTGAACAAACTGAAGACAGTTGGTGATTGGTTGCCCTGGGCAACTGCTCCAGACTTTGTTTGCTCCAGTTTGGATAAATTCCACCCTATATGTCTGGAGTAAACAGCAATGATGATCACCAGCACTCAAGGGATGAAATAAATCCCAAGTTTTCTTTTTATTAATGAAGCATGTGACTTGTCTTCAATAGCCGACGTTTTGGAACCACGCAGGGTTCCTTCATAAGGGCAGGCGTCTGGATATGCACGGCGCCATCCATGGACATCACTACCAACACCACCATTACTTGTGCTCTTTATTGCTGTATGGTGTGCAGGGGACTTCTTCGTTCATTGGCCCCTATCTGTCTAAACATTTGTGGACACCTGACCTGTAGGGACTTTTTGGACATCAAATTCCAATCCACCGGCATAGAATGCATCGTATGCAGCCTACTAAAACATGTTTAAATAACTGTGCCCATCCAACCTTGTGGCAACATTTTGGGGAAAACCCTTAGTCACATGGACACAAAGCTGGCTCTATAAGCACATGGCTTGATCAGTTTAGTGTGGAGGAACTTAAGTGGCCTACACAGAGTCCTGATCTCAATCCCATTAAAGGAGAATTATGAATCATAGAATTATGATTTTCACTCATCCTCATAGGTCGAGCCGACGTGTGACAATTAAACTGTCACATGTCGGCTCTATAGATTGGGAAGTGAGCGAACATACCATCGCTCATTCCCTGCAGAGAGAGGTGATTGTCAGTCACCGCTCCCCGCAGGGATTCCCTCCCCTGTTTTATACTGAGCTTTGGGTCATGGGAGGAGGTTAGTATATGTCCTCCTGTGACCCTAAAGGTTGTGATTGCAGCTGGAAGATATCAGGACAATTGTCAAGTACAGCAGACTTTAAAGCGGACATTTACACTCACATCAAATTCTACCAATGCATCCCTCTATGTAAGATGATTAAAGGAGAACTATGGGGTCAGTGTTTTTCCCCATAGTTCTCAGGGTCACGGGAGGATATAAACTAGCGTCGTCCTGTCACCCTAAGCTCAGTATATCGCGAGCTACAGCTCACAGTATACTGAGACCGCCGCAGCCGGGACGGATCCCGACATTACTGTCGAGATCCACCCAGCTGCGTGAGTGACAGCTGGCTTTGCCTATCTAGATGTACCCGCTATGGACAGGATCGAGAAGTGAGCGAGCGACTATGTGTTCCCTCACTTCCTGATCTATTGAGCCGACCTGTGACAGTTTCATTATCACGTCGGCCCGAACTATGAGGCTGAGTGATTTTCACTTGCCTCGTAGTTCTCCTTTAATAATAACATAGACATGTCAGGTGTAAAATGCTGTGATTATGAAATACTTCCACTTGCAGAGCATTCACTTCCTGCTCTGAAAGGGCAAAATGACTTCAGTTTACCAAAGCAGTGCACACTGGGATTGCCTTGTCATCACCACAGCATTGCTGGGAAATCTTATCTGTAATCTCATGAGATCTCAGGGAAAGGCATTTTCCTCCCCTGAGATGATGTGCATGGTCACATGTCCTAGTCACATGCCTAGTCACATGTGCCAGAAATCCAGGAAGTAAAAAGAGCGCTAGTAATCAGCCCTTAGTAAACATGGTCACTGCTGTAGACTGGGAAAGAAATAAGGTGTGCAAAGACTACAAAGCCGGCAATTATCTAGAAGTATGTGTTTGTAGATTGTCGCTACTAAACATTAGGTGTGTTTGTTATTATAAAGAGATGGGTAAAGGTCCGCTATAAACCATTCATTAGTTTCTAAAGTCATACGTACTAGGACCAAATGTCATAGAAGATAATTGAACTACCACTATTATCTCTTCTATTTTGTAGGATCTCTGCCGTTGCCCTTGCTATTAGGCACACACAGGGAAACGCACTGCCAGGAAGTGAGAGTTTGAGGTGGAGTGGAAGTGTGACTGTTTCTCGCAGTGTGGATCTCTCCCCTTCCTGCATTGACAACTATTTCATGTAATAACTGAGGTCTCTCAGCCAGGCAGGTTTCCAACATTGCTTGCCACTCTACAAATACCTGTCATTTACTGCCTCTGGGCTACAACCTTTTTTCTGGCCAGCACACCATCCAATAAATAGTTCCCGGTGTAAAGACATGCCAGAAAAGTAAATTGGCTCCTGTCTAATTTGGCCCTGTGTGTATGTGAGATAGGGACCTTAGATGGTAAGCTCCTTGGGGTAGGGAGTGATGTGAATGTGCACTGTGTATAGCGCTGCATAAATTGTCTGCCCTATATAAATACCTGTAATAAATAAATGTTATTGTGCTAAAGCACTCTTTACCTTAAAGTTCTACAGTGACTTTTTAGGAAATACACACAAACCTACAATATGCAAAAACTTCCTTTAGTAATAAAAAAAACTAGTTACAAAAAAAGCAGCAAAACTGCAAAAAGATACAAAAAAGGGATTTGGGTAATTTACTTGTGTTCAGGCCTAACAAAGCACTATATCATGTGACCCACACATAGAACAATTCCTTACCCAGGGACTTTGTCAACAGGAAGTTCCAAGGCTGATGCTTCTTTTCAGGTATTCAGCATGGAGGAATCTTTATTCTTCCTTCCACCATGGAGGATGGAGAACATTGCGTCACTCTTCGTATCCCAATCCAAATGTGTCCTCTTTCTCTTATTTTGCTTCCTCATCTATGAATCCGAACTCAATAACAGTCTCATTGGAGCACATCAATTCCCATGCTTGGGTCTATTTTAACAGTGGAGGGAAAAATCTTCAAGCCCAGCTTTATTTTTTACACAGGCTGAAGCTGAAAACAAAAACTGTACAATAACTGCACACATTTTTAGAAACGCATGGAATGTATTTTTTGCTGATTTAAGCTGAACGTTCAGTTGGACTTTA